AATCAACATTCGTATCAAAAATCCAACCAGTCTCACAGTCATAATATCAATCACTAACATTCGTATCAAATTAAAATCAACCTTATTGTATCAGATTCATAATAACCATCCTTAACCCGTACTATCTATAGAAACAAGCTGTCATGGCAAGCTGTCATATAGAGAGAGAATTAAAGAAATATTATCCGGTATCGCGCATTCTTAGGAGTTTTATCTATCCCCCCCTCCGCCAAGTTAGGAAGGCGTTGATAATACACTAAAATATCAAAGTGTCGATTGATTGATGGAAAGAAGACGACAAAATGTTGACGTTTTTAAAGTGACGTATCGGCTTACTTGAGAAAATTCACCGGAGTATTCTGCGCTCGCCACATCTCGCACAACTTTTCGGCCTTGTGTGCCTGAATAATTGTATTAATTTGTATATACTTAAGCTCTTTTAATGGTTTATACGATGTAAAAAAGTTGTAGGAAGAGGGGGGGGGGGGCTTGTTAATTTGATTTTTAATTATGACAAATATTAAATTCTCGTTTCTGATTTTTAGGAGAATGTTAAAATATTATATCTTTCTAAGCCTGTTGCCTATTGCCTTCCCTTTGTATTTCCACATTGGGGAAACGGAGAGAAAATGTTTTATCGAAGAAATCCCTGATGAAACTATGGTGACAGGGAACTACAAGGTACAAATATTTCAATCATTGTATATTTATAAAAACCATATATTATAATAGTTTTTATCAACTTTTGTACTTTTTCATTCAAAGTATGTTAATTTTACCAATCTCAAAATAGTGTGCACGTTTTAAACGAAAAGGTAATTAATAAATTTCTAGGATTTTTTGGATTTTCTGGTTGATTTCCAGAAAATCGTAAAATTAAGATTTCTTATTGGAAACGATTTTTAAAATTTAACAACATGTGATTTCAAAACATTTCGTCGGGTTTCACGGCCGAGATCTTTGCTAGGTTCAGCTGTATGATCCCAGAACAAATGGATTTGCTCCCTCCAGTCCTGAGATCGGGATGCATGTCGAGATTAGAGATCCTGATGACAAAATCATCCTGAGCAAGGTACAGTTCCAGAGCTGGGAGTATCAGATAAAATTGATAGCTTGTTCTCGATATCCAATGTGGTCACTTTTAATTTATGGATCAATGGTTAATCACTTCATTTCAGTAATTCCTACCCGGAACGATTACGATGGGATATCGAGTAAAGATTAAATTAATCTGGAGATTATCGAAAGATCGAGTTCGATAGGTGCTATGGAAACGCCTCAACACGGAAACGCCTCAACACGGAAACGGACCCAAAAGTGAGTTTGGGTCCGTGTAGAGGGATTTCCGGATATTTTGGGTCGGTTTCCGCTATATTTACATTTGATTCGTTTCCCGTTTTTTTGGGTCCGTTTCCTCTTTTTTTTTTGGGTCAGTTTCCGGTTTTCAGAAAAATTTTTAAACTCTCAGTTTGTTGAGCACGGTGGAGGTCTGAGTTAAGATTTGAGCAAGATAGAAACCTGAGACCCTGAGAACATTTTTAAAATCTGTTAAACAATTCAAAATAGGATATTTTTAAGGAAAATTAACGCTGTTTTGCACATTTTAAAAATTAAAATTGTGCTTGGATCCGGATCCGTGAATCCGCATTTTTTTGCGGATCCGGATCCGGATCCAAAGAGCCAAAATAATGCGGATCCAGCGGATCCGGATCCGGATCCTAAGCACTGCTTTGAGGGTAGCCCTGTATATTTCCTAAAAGTTGCATGAAATGTTCCGAACAGATTTTGAGGAACAGTTTTGACCCAGAAGGAGATGAAAACTCCAATTAAAGCCAAAACCGTAATATTTTATTTTAAACCAGATACTAATGAAAATTAATCGAAATTCGAAAATAATGAATTTTTTTCTGAAAACCGGAAACTGACCCAACAAATGAGGGAACCGATCAAAAAAAGGGTACAAACCAATAAAACTGGGATATTAACATTTTTAAAAAACCGGAAACGGGCCCAAATAAAGAGGAAACCTACTAACAGAATGAGATTTTAAAATTCTTTTTTGAAAACCGGAAACAGACCTAAAAAAAGGGGAAACCGATCAACAAACTGAGAATTTAAAACTTTTTATGAAAACCGGAAAATGAGGAAACAGACCCAATAAAAGTGGAAACCGATCAAAAAACTGAGATTTTAAAACTTTTTTTGAAAACCGGAAACTGACCCAAAAAAGAGGAAACGGACCCAAAAAAAGAGGAAACCGATCAACAAACTGAGAATTAAAAGTTTTTTTTTGAAAACCGGAAACGGACCCAAAAAAAGAGGAAAAGGACCCAAAAAAAGAGGAAACCAATCAAAAACTGAGATTTTAAAACTTTTTTTCAAAACCGGAAACGGACCCAAAAAATGAGGAAACAGACCCAAAAAAAGAGGAAACCGATCAACAAACTGAGAATTAAAATTTTTTTTTGATAACCGGAAACGGACCCAAAAAATGAGGAAACGGACCCAAAAAAAGAGGAAACCGATCAACAAACTGAGAATTTAAAACTTTTTTAGAAAACCGGAAACGGACCCAAAAAAAGAGGAAATCGGACTCAAAAAAAGAGGAAACCGATCAACAAACTGAAAATTTACAACTTTTTCTGAAAACCGGAAACGGACCCAAAAAAAAAGAGGAAACGGACCCAAAAAAAGAGGAAACCGATCAACAAACTGAGAATTTTAAACTTTTTCTGAAAACCGGAAACGGACCCAAAAAATGAGGAAACGGATCGAAAATATTGGGAAATCCCTCAAAAATGTTGGGAAATCCCTCAACAATATAAGACCCTGATAAACCGGAATCCGACCAAAAAATCGAGGAAACGGATAAAAAAAAACGGGAAATTCCTCTAAAAATTGGATTTGAGGGATTTCCGATAATTTTTGAAAAAACAGGAAACGCCTCAAAAAAATTCATTTTGGGGAGGTTTCCGTTTTTTTTTGGCTCCGATTCCGTGTTGAGGCGTTTCCATAGCACCGTTCGATATACACAACATAGTACAGGGTGTCCCACATCAAATTAGACCGCGTCAATGAGCCATATTACGATTTGGGGGACAAATCAGAAAATTTAAGAAGATGAATCATTTTGAAAAATTTAATAAGGCTAATAGAAAATTTGTTTGCAGAAAATGCTAGATTTTTGGAGTATTATTAGCGTATTTTAGCGTTAAAGATTGGAGAGAGTCTAATATGATATGGGACGCTCTAGGTAGTTCTATGATACCTTAGAATAAAATATCTTAATTAATTAATGCAGTAGAAATTATTCAGACAACATTTAAGTTCTACAGCAAGTTTAATAAGCTTATGATCTCAAAATCAATCTTTCATTAATAAAGATCATTTGGGAGAGTGATTGATTGATTTGATGCACTTGGGTTGATCGACGGGTTGAGGAATTGATTGATTGATTGATATTTACTGTTTCATTGCGATGTATTGGTTGGTTGATTGATTGATTGATTGTATTAAGGTGTATAGTAGCGAGGGAAAGTTTACCTTCACCTCTCATAACCCCGGAGAGCATGTAATCTGTCTCTACAGTAACTCAACCAAATGGTTCTCAGGGACACAACTTAGGTACAGTTAGGGGTCCAAGGTACAAATCTTGGGTACAGTTTTCAGGGGTGAATTAAGGGGTCTAAGGTCGGTATACAGACAAAATTAGGGATTTGAGGTAAAAAGTAAGGGTATATATGCCATGTAAAGGAATCTTCATTTGTGAAAGTTTAAGGAATCAGAAGGCATGTAAACATCGGATAACGACAGAGGAAATAATTATTTTGAAGGTTTGCATATAATAATCTCTTCCAGAAACAGTTCTCTCATTTTTGAAGAAACTTAAATAAAATAGTTTCGAGTGTAACCCCTCGTCATAAGGTTTTGGTCCCTTAATCTATCCGATAAAATATACTTCGTTCTTAAAACTGTCTTTTTTTCTGATATCTCTTTATGTTCTAACTTAATTATTTTTTTTCAGAGTACATCTTGATATTCAAGTTGGGGAACATGCAATTGATTACGCAAATGTCGCCCAGGTAAAATACGCAATTTTTGCACTTTTTGTCGGTTAACAGCGCGGGGCATCAATCTTTTATGTAGTTGATTTATATTATTTTACAACTCTTGAGTTCTAATCTTTTTACGGAACTTAATATGGATTTGTTCTGATTTGTTTTCTCATTTTACTAATTAGGACAGGTATAGGACAGGTATAGGACAGCTATAGGACAGGTATAGGACAGGTATAGGACAGCTATGAACTAGTTTTATCAAAACATTAGAGATCGTAAATAAAAGTCGTTGTTGACATTTTTTGATATAATTTCTGAGCATTCCTAATACAATTGATTACAAACAACAATTTGTAGAAGGAGAAGTTGACCGAGCTGCAGCTGAGAGTGCGTCAACTTCTTGACCAGGTGTGTAAATGCGTTAATAATACGAAATTAATTCCGCACACAATCTGATAACATTTTATTTTTGTGAATAAGTTAACATATTGGGTATGAATAGGATTTAAAAGTTCGCGCATTTTTTAAGAAAAAATTTAATTTCTTATTTTTTATTTGTGAGATATTATTTTTATGAAAATTCTCTGGAATATTCGACCAACTTCTCAGTAGCCTTAAAACGTGGATTGATGGTTTTTAAAGTGATGATAGTAGGTATAAGGCCCTTAAAAAGGAGGGGGGTCGATGAAACCTTCAAAAATAGGACTAATATTCAAAAATGTGATCGGTCTTCTTCTTAAGATTACCAATAACCTTTTTACCCGCCAAACGTAGTTTTATCTTACTAAAAAAGTGTACACTATAGGTACGATGCCCTTAAAGGGGAGAAGGGGTTATTTATGCTCTAAAATGCCGTTATAACCATTAAAACGTACTCGAAATCCCTTTAAGGTTTAATTTAAATAAAGTAAACAACCTCTTTAAGGTTGAACAGATCACTAAGGAGCAGAACTACCAGAGGTACAGGGAGGAGAGGTTTAGGCAGACATCAGAGAGTACCAACCAGAGAGTTCTGTGGTTAGTTTTTTCGTCTAATGGGGGTGCTGATGGGTCGGGTTACTCGTTTTTTCTAAGGTCACTTAGAGGACCAATGAGGCCCTTCGTTATAAATAAATAAATACCCGTCGGATTTATATTAGAATCCCTAAATTTTGTAACCCCCTCTCTCCCCCTTATTTTACTTTCCCTAATGTAAAATGAAGGAAAAGTTTGAAGATTGATTGCACTGAGAGGACTAATCTTTTAATTCTTAAATTGAATATTTTAAAAATACTTAAGAAAGATTATTCAAATGAATTATTAATAATGTGGTTTGAGATGGGGATGAGGCCATAAATTTTTCTTCGGAATTAATACAAAACGAATGTTTATTGAAAAACAAAATAATCATGTTTAGTCATAAGTTTTTTCTTTCCTAAAAGAATTAAATCAGAAAAAAAATAAAAAATAATGCTAAATTATAACAAATATCTCTTGAAGGTGGGCTCTTGCTCAGACTGTTATCCTGCTGGTTATGGGAGCCTGGCAGATGCGTCATCTTAAATCCTTCTTCGAAGCCAAGAAACTCGTTTAAGTCAAGAAACCTGAAAGAAGCTTGTTTAAATCATGATTCAAAGCCAAGGAGCTTGTTTAAATAATGCTTTAAAGTCAAGAAGCTTGTTTTAATAATGCATTAGTCAAAAAGCTTGTTTAAATAACGCTTTAAAGTCAAGAAGCTTGTTTAAATAATGCTTTAATGCCAAAATAGCTCGTTTGAATAATGCTTTCAAGCCAAGAAGCTTTGATCATCATCATTTCGAAACTCTTCTAACTCATATTAGAAAGATATCGGCAATTGTCTTGCTCTTTAAATCTACGGTCGATTTCACGATCGATTTCACGATCGATTTCATGATCGATTTCATGATCGATTTCTACAAATCCAGCTTTTCTATCATGGAGGGCCATTTATTAACTCGAGTCAACTAATAACCATCATATTAAGAACCGAACTTAGACTCGGATTCAATAAAATCCTTACTCGGCATTTCCATTTCTTATTTTGTAAAATGTTGTATTTGTTAAACCTGCTTAATTTTTCAGTAATATTTCTTAATATTATTTCTCAACATATATTTTGTAACATTTTGGATAGAGCTGACCAATAGATTACATGGAGTTAATAATATCAATTAATTGATATTTTTAACCATTTGTTGTCTAATTTCTAATTTAATTCAAATGCAATATTGACATCGATTGTATCATTTGCAAAATTATTTATAATTTTGTCCTTGCAATGCTTCAAAATGTTTGCATAATTTGCAATTTAGTTTAGCTAAGGAATAAATTAAATAATTTGATAATTGCATATTCTATATATGAATAGTGAGCAACTTTAACATTCCTAAAATTTACGTCTATACCCCCCCCCCCCCCTTACTTATTTGTCTACTCTTGTGACAACTATCTGCTTTTTTATTGATCAACTTTCGTTGTTCATCTCCTTAATTTCTTTTTTGGAACATTTTTCTTTTCTCTGCGCATTTTAGTTGATAGCTAATAACACTTCAGGACATATAATTAAATTTTTTATAATAAAGTTGTTAATATTGTTGCTTTTAATATTGACAGATAGTTCATAATTTACGATCAGTTATAAAAACTTGAATAGGAAATATGTGTTTTAGTTTTAAAGGGGAATTATGTCAACATCTGTATTTTATTAAATTTAACCTTGTTTTGTTTTTAAGTATTTTAAATAAAATTTTCAGAGCACTGTTAAAATGACGCCGCAGCGGATCAATGACTGATACAATGGTAGGTTGTTACAGTGCATAGAATCCGAATCCGAATTCCTGGTATCCGCAATATTTTAGTTCCCTGCATCTGCAGGAATTTATAATGAGATACCTGTGATCTTGACTTTTTAATCCGAATATCCAATGTAGACACTTTTAGTTTTATTGCTTAATCCTCTCTTTTTCGGATATAGTACACAAAAATAGAAAACCGGTTTTTCAAAATTAGGGAGTCCCTCCTGTTCCTTTAATACCAATCTTGAATGGCACGTTAAATTTTATGTTCACTGGATAATGGTACGCGACTCTTATTGGTTGAATTTTTTACACTTTTCTGGATACAAGTACAAGATTTGGTTAGTCTGGAAATTAAGAAAAAGAGAGGATCAAACTTTGATCTTGATATCCACCATTCTAAAGTTCCCAGGTCTGATCACAGAATAATAAATAATTTCTCAATTTTCTGCATGAAAACAATTTTGAAAAAACTGCGAACAACTTGTAAATTTGGCTGAATAAGAATCATTCCGGATCCATTTTTGCAATATTAGTCCGGATCCACTTTTGCAGGATTGGTCCTGATCCATTTTTGTAGATAAATCCGGATCCATTTTTGCAGGATTAGTCCGGATCCACTTTTGCATATTAATCCGGATCCATTTTTGCAGGATTAGTCCGGATCCACTTTTGCAGGATTAGTCCTGATCCATTTTTGTAGATAAATCCAAATCCATTTTTGTAGGATTAATCCGGATCCGCTTTTGCAGAAATAATCCGGATCAAAATGGAATGAATTCTAAGCACTGGGTTGGGCCAAAAAGGGGTGTATCACCACTCCCCCCCTCATGGCCAAATGTTTGCACCAAATTGGCTGAATTTTTTTGAAGTGAAAAAGGCTAAACATTTTTTTTAAATTCGCCGAGCGCTTTAGCTAAAAAGTTGGAATTAAACTATAAACCTAAGAAACCGCCGAGCTTTAGCTAGTTTTACAACGTAATACGATAAACAATATACATTTCTTGTTCCAGACAACAAAATCTTTTTCTCATAGAAAAATAATAATGCATCCAAGTATTTGGGGAATTTAATTGGATCCTTTTTGGTTAAAAAGATGAAATTGAGGAAGTTTAAGAATTGGTCTAAATTAATCTACGTAGATACGTCCTAAATATATCCCTATTCATTAAATTTGATCCACGGTGTTATTTTTTCACCTCCTAAACTTACTATTTGATTAGGCCCTTGCACGGGAATACAATGTTTATTTTACTAGATTGGAAACCATTTCATTTTTAAACTGCAAAGCTAAGAACAGTCCCGTGATTTTAACGTGTTACCAAATCAAAATTAGAGAAAAAAATATCCCAGGGGTTCACGAGTTATGATCTAACAGACAAAACAAATACTATTTCATAGATATAAATAGTTAGAAAAACCTGATAAAAACTCTTCTGTTTTAATATTTGCACTGAAAAGTTCATTTCCAGAAGTTTCTATTTTAAGAATCCGATATTGGAAACTTTTCAATTCTCTCAGATTAATATCTATATATAAATTTGGCTTGTCTGTATGTTTGTCTGTCTGTTTGTTTGTATCCAATAAACGTCAAAACGGCTGAACCGATCGGGCCCAAATTTTTGGTTGGACCTCACGTGACCCCAGGGAAGGTTTATAAATGATCAACATTTTAAAAATTTGTGTTTAAAAGTTTTTTATTTTTGAAAAATTGTGAAAATGCGCTAAAAAATATTTTGAAATCCTCAAACTTTTTTTGTTTTTGTTTTAAACTGTACAAAGAGAAGATGTTCAGAGATAAAGCCACAGTTAAAAGTTGTAATAGAAGATGGGCGCGAAGCGCCCTAAAGCCTAGTTTATATATATGTACTTTGCTTTTTGTATGTCTGTTGTTATGCAAAAACTAGTGCTTCAGCAGTCCAAAAACGTCACAGCAAAGTGTACGGAAACCCTATCGCCCCCTCCTTCTATTCAATATCTCCTTGAATCCAATAAACCTAAATACGGTTGAACCGATGAGGCCCAAATTTTGTTCAGTAAATCACAAGACCCCAGGGAAGGTTAAAGGATGTTTAAAATTGAAAATTTGGGCCGGAAATAAATGTCGACATTTATTATTTTTTAAAATGTACAAATGCAAACAGAAAATACCGCGAACATACGAAGAAAAAATGGTTACTGAAAAAGCAACAGCTTTAAGTTAAAATGTTACTATAGGGGACACGAAGGCTTGTTTGTTCTAATAGATTCATTTTTGAAAGCTATAAAACTAAAGAAAAAATGGTTGATAAAAACTAAAGATAGCAGACAAAGATATTTTGAATAACTGTAAGAGAAGACGGGGAATAAAAAATCAGAGCCGACGGAGGTCACTTTTCAGAGGTTCCAAGACTCCGGGAAGAGATATTGGTAATCTGACTTCATATCCTGCTCCTAGGTAATTATATAACATTATTTTTAAAATTAGAACCAGCCACCATCTATAAAAGGTAGAAAAAAGCCTCAAAAGGGTGATTTGTCAAAAAAAAAAATATAAACACCCCGTAGCCCATGAAAAAATTAATTTTTTGAAATTTTTTTTTTCATCAATGTGTTAGATAATAATATAAATAATATTTTATCTTTTCTTTTCCTCCGACATTTTTTATCCGAACTTGTGAATTTTTGCAATTAAAAAAAAATCAAAAAAACGCAATTTTTTTCACCTTGTTTTGACATCAAAAACTTGTGTATTTTAGGGGTCATTGGGAGTATATATTTAAAAAATGGGCTATTTATGTCCAACGAGGCCGGAGATAAAAAATCGGAGCCGACGGAGGTCACTTTTCAGAGGTTCCAAGACTCCGGAAAGAGATATCGACAATCTGACTTCATATCCTGCTCCTAACAAATTATATGAGTCTACGTTCAAAAATAGAACCGGCTGCTATTAATATTGAAAGAGATATTACAAAATGTCTTACTTGACACGGGTTCTTTACTTTAAAAAGTACATTTGCCCGTTTCTCTGAATCAGTGAATCACATTATTTGTAACTATTTTTTTTCAAAGGTCTAGAGTGTTAAGTTCCATTCCTTGAAAATGGTTTCTGATACGGACTTAGAGTTACAGGTATTTTTTTCAAGAGAAATATTATTCGAGTAGATTCATTTTAAAAATATCTTTTCTTTGAATATCTATTTGCATGAATGCCGGGTGTGCCCCCTCCCCTCCTGGGCAAATAAGGGTTTTACATGTTTTTAATGTCTACGTAAAATATCTGGTTTAAAATGTCTGATATAGGGGGGGGGGGGGCTGATGCGATCCCTCCCCCCCCTCTTCCTCTGAATGATTTAACCCTTGAGTGAATTATGTCAATACTCAATAGTCCATTTGTTTCATTTTACTCTTTTTTAGATTCTCTAAAAGTGCTGGGAAGGTTTTAAACAAGTAACTTTATAAAATTATCTGATAAAGATAAAGTGTTATTACTTAAAATAATATCATGCGTATATTGAAAGGACTCTTTTTAAAACGTGTATTTCAGATTTACAGATTAATCAACATAAAATCTTTCTGGAATCTTAGATTAAGTTTGATCTCTTAGTTGTATTAAGTTTGATCTTTTAGTCGTATTAAGTCTGATCTTTTAGTTGTATTAAGTTTGATCTTTTATTTGTATTAAGTTTGATCTTTTAGTTGTATTAAGTCTGATCTTTTAGTTGTATTAAGTTTGATCTTTTATTTGTATTAAGTTTGATCTTTTAGTTGTATTAAGTCCGATCTTTTAGTTGTATTAAGTTTGATCTTTTATTTGTATTAAGTTTGATCTTTTAGTTGTATTAAGTCTGATCTTTTAGTTGTATTAAGTTTGATCTTTTAGTTGTATTAAGTTTGATCTTTTAGTTGTATTAAGTTTGATCTTTTAGTTGTTTTAAGTTTGATCTTTTAGTTGTATTAAGTTTGATCTTTTAGTTGTTTTTAAGTTTGATCTTTTAGTTGTATTAAGTTTGATCTTTCAGTTGTTTTAAGTTTGATCTTTTAGTTGTTTTAAGTTTGATCTTTCAGTTGTATTAAGTTTGATCTTTTAGTTGTTTTAAGTTTGATCTTTTAGTTGTATTAAGTTTGATCTTTTAGTTGTATTAAGTTTGATCTTTTATTTGTATTAAGTTTGATCTTTTAGTTGTTTTTAAGTTATGAGAAAAACCCGTGATAGGGTTCAGACTTTACTTGTTTTATTGAAGAGATTTATCCAGAATTACCCGAATCAAAAAAAAAACGATTTCCTTGTCGTTTCTTCAATTGTCATATTTTGTGTGACATATTTTTCATTTTGTATTAAAGGGGATTGTTATAAATCGGACCTGCCAATGCTGGGTCACTGAAATTACGTCTATATAGTGTATAGTCCCTTTTTTAGGAAACTGTTGTTATTTTGAAGTTTGAACTCCCTACAGTGCTTCTACGGTTTTGTCCAGGTAACGACAAATTAAAGGAATTGAACCTTTTCCACAACCTCAAATTTTCTAGTCCCTATTTCTTTGCAACCTGATGGTGTAAATCATAAAAATTTTAGACTTAAATTATTTGATATAACAGAATTCAATAGTGTAAAATAATTTAAATTGAGTTGCAAAGATTTAGAAATAAGAAATCTGAGTTTGTGGTAAAGACTCAAATACTTTGAAGGAAATATCAAGAAGGTTTTTTATTAAGTGTCTGAAAATGTTAATTTGAAAATGTTCTGTACTTTATCATTCATGCTTACCTCATGGTAAATTTCACTATAGACGTGCATCAAAACAATCATGTTGTTACAATTTAAAATTAGCTGTATACTATAGCACTGTGCTATAAAAGTTTTCTTTTATAAAAGTCCGAATAAAACTTTTTTTTTGGCACGACGTCTTAAAATGTTTTTTGGACTTAATTTTTTCTGTCCCTCGCCAATGCTCGGGACAAAATATAATCTAATAGGTCTTGTACATTCTCGATAAAAAGAAATGTTCTGGCCAAATACTCGAAAGCATTGTAAACCAAAATAATGGTGTTGTAAATAGTTAATTTTACCATATCAGTAAGATAAAGTTAATTTTATAATTTTATTTTTAGTTTGCGGATATTCGATCTCTGAAGATTTCCAGCTTAAAGAAATTCAGGATCATTTCAGGTCAAACTGCATTTTTAATAATTTTAATTTTTTAAATGTTTTTTTATCAAGAATTATGAATTGAGAGGTTAAATCTCAAAGCCCAGAGCGCCCACTTTTCTAACTCATTGATTTTCAATACACTTAAAATACAAAATGCTTTTTAGTCTTATTTTCTTACATTACATTATATTCAAAATTTACGTTGGATCCTTATTATTTCTAAGAAATACAAATCCGTATAAAAGTCGTTTTTTCTTATTAGTTAATGAAGTATTAGCCGAAGTGGGCAGGTGCTCGACCCTGGAGCTCAACGTAATATAGCATGCTGGACATGAACAGGACTGTAGGTTGAATGATGATAACAATAATAATAATATTTTGATGAGTTATAGGATATAGTTTTAGGAGAAGTAAAGTTTCAGTTCGAAACCTACGGGGTGATGCGTTGCACCCTAATGGTGTCCAGAGGAATCCATGTCGGGGTTTCTTCAAGTTTTTTAATTATTTATTTATTTTTCTAGTGAATGTTTGGGTGTTGAAACAAGTATTGCTGTCAAGTCTAGTAAAGATGTCAGAAAATTCAGGTATTAAGCAAAGTGGTGGATCTACAGTCAACGACGTATATATCAATACCATAAAGACGACTTTCTATTTCAATTTCAATTCCTACCTAACTTTCAGACAGCTTGGATACTCAAAAAATGGAATCAAAGAAAAACTGTCCATTAACAGATTCTTATGTTTACTTGTAAACTTGTAAGTTGCAAAAAGCTTGTTAAAAGAGAACTCGTCTTCATTGTAATGATATAACGCTGACAACTTTTTGATAAACCTGTTGCAGCACGCAGTCTCCAAAAACACGATAGTTTTTTTGATTGATTGATTGGTTGTCTGTTTGATTGATTGATTGATTGACCGATTGGGTGCATGGTTGATTATTATTGATTGTGGTGATTGATTGGGATTGTGGTGATTGAGTGAGATTGTGGTAATTGATTGATTTATTGATTGATTTTCTGATTTATTGGTTGGTTGATTGATTGATTGAATAGAAGAGACCTGAAGTGGTGATTGGGTGATTGATTGATTAATTAATTCATTCACTGATTGATTGATTAATTGATTGATTGACTGACTGATTGACTGACTGTCTGACTGACTTATTTTAATTGATTGACTGATTAGAAAAGATCTGAAGTGTAGAAGCTGTGATAAAAGATATGGGAATAGTCATAGTTCTCCTCTCTTTATCATAATTTTTACTTAGTACTTCTTTTTCCGCCAATTCACTGATAACAACTGCCAAGTAATAATCTAACTTTGCCCTATTATTTTGTTTTCGTGTGTGTGTGAGTGAGTGTGTGTGTGTGTGTATGACAAAAAAAATATTTTATTTGTTTAGGTTCTTCTGTGAAAACACTGTTAACCTTGCAGGAATTTTCTCGGTCACATTTTTTATTTTTTGAATATTTTTATTTGACAAACTTCAACATTCACTAAACCCCCCTCCCGGCCCCGCCTTCCATGATATTGTTAATGGTTAAATTACAGTTGTTTTCCCCAATGATTTTATACTTTATTTTTGTTCAATCCTTTTTAGAATCTAATTAATTTTTGATTTTGTTACTGAAACTTGATTGACAATTGAGAGATCAGAGCAAGTTTAAAATGCTTTCTCTATAAATTTTTAAAATGTGTTAATGGCTTTAAAATTTGGTGATGCATGGTGATGGACCAAACCTCTGTAGAGTAAAAAAAAGTAGATGTTATTTACACATTTATTGAAAAAATATTTCGGTCTGGGTTGACCCTCGTCAGTTTTAACGATAAAATAAAACATCAAACTCGATAAAAAAAATTTGTTAAAAACCACAAGAAAATAAACAGAACAAAAAAGATTATTTTAAAAAAAAAATGGACTGTCAAATGGACAAAAGGGAAATGAACTCAGATTATGAGATGGAAAAAAGATAATTTGCAAATATTCAATTTTTAAAAATGTTTCAAGACAATTATTATTCCTTGAGATTATTTCTGTCACAAAGATTAAAAACAAATTGTTTAGATGTATGTATATAAAGTGGTGGTGGGGGTCGAGGGGGGGCTTGTTTAAGAAGGGTTATTATAGTTTTGTTTTATCTGTTGGATTCGAAGCACTGACTACAAATGTGACTAAGTACGTTTTGGTAGATTATGAAAGCGTTGAAGTCAGTCAACAGTTGGAGGATGTTGAAAAGAGGGCAGAAGATAGATCGGAAAGGACTGAGAACGGGTTTGAATTTGTGAGTACAGAGGTTGCTAAGACTGTGGGCGGTTCGGAGGATATAGAGGATGGTTTAAGGTTGGAGGCAGTGGAAGAAAAGGAAGATGAACATCATCAACTAGATTCTGGGTCGGAGAACCATCCTCGATCGAACCCAAGTCGCGAAGGATCTCAGGAGGTTCTGCTTGATAAAGGTGGCGGTAACTTTGATCACATTGATGAAGCTCAAACCATCCTTCCAGGTGAGTTGAATTTAAAATGTCAAATAACTAGCGGACGAAAGTTCTTCGTGTATCCCTTTTTCTGGTCATACTCATAACATTCAATGCTGATCTGCATTCTTCAAGATTTCTTTGATACATAATACATACATTGTAAGATAATAACAAAAATGACATATTTCGCAGATTTTTCTGTTATCGTTGGCGGATTTCAAAATATCGAGAGAAAAACTTATTTCAATTAAACTAACAATCCTCTCTTTGCAGTGGAAACGAAGCCAGTTTCGGAAGTCGGCAAGCCGATCTCAAAAACCCACAAACCGGTTTCTGAAATCCGAAAACCGGTATCTGAAATCCGAGAGTTGGTTTCTGATGACGAAAAGCTGATATCTCAAGTCGATAAACCAGTTGCAACCTGTTCATTTCTTGAATGTGGAAAACTGTTCTCAACCAAAGCATCACTTAGGAAATCATTTCATCTCTCATTAAAAGTTTATATTGTAACTTTGAAACTATAAGTTTATTATTTTCTTAGGTAAAAAGCACAAATTGAGAGGGAAATCTTNCTGGTATAAAAAATATATTTTTTGGAAAATAATATAAATGTTGTGCTCTTTTTCTTTCCCTTTTTCTATAATTGATTAATTGATTTAAGGAGGCATTTGGATTCTGTTCATCTTGGGAACAAGGTTCACAGTTGTTCCTATTGTACTAAAGCATTTAAGGATAAGACATCGCTTAGGCATCATGTGCAGGTACAAGTTTGGAGTACCCGGCCGCCCCTCTGGGCAACTAAATTTGTTCAGTTAAGGCACATGCTACAGAAGGTACAGTTGTTCATAATACACTATAGCATTCTTGAATAAGACCTCTCTCATGTATCGTGTACTTGTAAAGGCAGTTTTACTAAGCGTCATGTCGACCTTGAAGCAACTAGAGAAATTTGTACAGTGTTCATACAGACATAAGCCAGAGGTTATGATAAGTGTACAGTTTACACACTGATATAGGGCAGAGGTAGTAACATTTGTACGGTATATCCAAAGATATATACAGATATAGGCTAGAGGTTATGATATTCATACATTTTACAACCCCCTATCATTTCTTCTATTTTCCAGGGACACACAGATGCAAGACCTTTCAGCTGTAAAACCTGCAGTAAATCTTTTAGGAGAAAGGTAATTTTTACCCTTTTATTTTTGAGAAAATGGACTGATGTTGTTTTTCTACAAACATTAGCAACCTGTAGATCCAAAATATTCATAAAAAAGGGGTATATATTTTCCTGAAAAAAAATATTTTTTCCCCCAAATGTTAGGTATTATTGGGAAAATAAATGATTTTTAGGAGGAAATAAATGAATTGTTGAGTAAAGTATTAAAAAAGATTAAAAAATAGCATTTTTTTGTTTAATGTTTATTTCTCGTATATAAGTATATTTTTTTACACCTGTAAGAAGAATGAACCAAAAAAGGGCCATAAATAAAATCAAGGCTCTGCATTCAACTTTTTTCTTTTGGACACACTATGAAAAAATAATCCTTCTAATCTCAGGAGTCCCTGCAGTATCATGAGAACACCCATCTAAACATCAAATCTTTTATCTGTTCAAAGTGCGCCAAATCATTCAAAAACCTCAGGTAACTCAAGTATTTCTAAGTGCGTAAATCTCAAACCCTTTACAGGTATGTGTGACAAATTAGTCAGAAACCATAGGTAAATCTTAAATATGTCCAAATGCGCAAATTTATTTCTAACTAATTTTAAGTATTTTTTTAATATTTCACATTGCGCCAAATAATTCATAAAATCTTATGAAAGTTCAGAAGCCTTAGGTAACTCTTATAAATAAGCTATTGTTCAACAAATTGTTGATAAATCTTGAGTAAATAATAAATTTGTCACAGCGCGTTAAATCATTAAACCCTTAAATAATTCTTAACTCAGCCATAGTTCATAAAATCATTCATAAACCTTTAATAAATCTTGTCTATGCCACAGTGCGTTAAATCATTAAACCCTTACGTAATTCTTAAATCAGCCATAGTTCTTGTTTACTTGTTTACTTGTGATGGAATTCCAAGGACTCCAGGTAGGAGCAAGAAATATATAGACCAGGAACCGCCATATCTAATGCGTCAAATTTGTGTACTGCAGTGGGAGGCGATCAAAACAAAGAATTCAGGGGCAAAACATCAATTATGAGGGGGGGGGGGAAATAAAGTATATTGCTATCGTAGACACGAATACTGATTATAAAACGAAAGACTATTTGTTACTTGAGAGTATATGCTTTAAAGACAGGAGAGGGAAATGATAATATCCAAGATTATATTCAAATTGTAAAACGTTATATAAATTGGGATGTTTTAATCAAAGCAAAAACAATTCCTCACTCCATGGGAATCAATGCAAAGAGGAACTGTAGACATGCGTAACAGGACTGCACAGTGCACACATAATTGTGTCCCTAANCGATTCGATTCGATTGGGGGCACTGTATTTGTTTACATTCCTCCCACAGTGTACAGTACACAATTTGCGTATATCTGAGTTGGGCGTTCCTGGTCTATATATTTGTTGGGTAGGAGTATGGTAGGAATATCAGTCCATGTCCTCCAGAGTAGTGTTCTGGTCTGCCTGGTTCTCGTCTGCGTTTAGCTATCCATGCACACTTCTCAAAAACACAAGTATAGGGGTCCAGTTATTTGAACATTTCGTCAAGTTTTGATTTGAAAATGTTTAAAGTTCTGAAGTCCTTGACGTCTGTCGGGAGCCCATTCCATCTGGAGACAACTCTGTTTGTGAAAAAGTTAAGTCTGATGTCAAATTTTGACCTGGTTGCTACAAGGTTTCCATGGTAGCTGGTATTCCTGGTTACTCTTTGAGTTTCTTGGCCAACTAATGTAAACCAAGTAGAGCTGTCAACATCGTCGATACCTTTCAGGATCATAAAATCATTCATGAACCTTCAATAAATCTTAAATATGTCACAGTGCGCCAAATCATTTAAAAATATCAGGTAAATCTTGAGTATTTAAGTGCCCTAAAATTGTTAATTTTTTAATCTATTTTTGTTTCTAGAGACCTGAAACACCATGAGAAGATTATTCACTGTGAGGAAACCGGTCAGAGTGTACTGCTATGTTCAAAATGTACTGCAGTATTCAGATCTAAACATTTTCTCAACAAGGGAAACAAACTTTTAATTTGGACTTTTCCGATTTGTTTTTTTCAAGAAGACATTTTCAGAGAATCGGGGGAAAAAAATATGAATATTACATGATTCATTAACCTCAGCTTAGGCTGATAGGTATGGAAAGCACAAATAATATAAATATCACGTTTAATTGTAAAAGGAAAAATCCGTAAAAATCCGCAAAATCTTACTTCAACATAGAACCCATTACCTTTACAATAATGAAGCTTTCCAGGAAACATTGATTAACTTGTTATTTCAAAACTACTTTAATGTTACGATTATTTTTTGCGGAAATACAAAAATATGATTAAGATTTAGCTTGCGTACATCATTAATATCATTCTTTTTAAAGAAAATTCTTTATATTATCTTTATTTTATTGATAAAAACCAGTGATAAGGATCCATTTGATTTAGATGGGGATCCGGACGTGTAATAAATAATAATATGTAATAATAAAGCTCTTCGCTCAATGAGTTCGTTTTTTTAATCTGGTCAACGCCGGGTACTTTAGTTAGTATTACAGTGCCTAGGATCCGGATCCGTTGGATCCGTAAGATTTTGGCTTCCTGGATCCAGATCCGCAAAAATATGCGGATTCACGGATCCGGATCCAAGGGGTAAAATATCAATCAAAACTGCAAAAAAAAATTTACTCCTAAAACCCAAATCTAAAAAGAGAGATTATAAAAATTTCCTCATTTCTGAATGGTTTATCAAGTTTTTGGATAAAAATAAGCGAAACAAAATAAATCAAAAAATTTCAAAATTATTTTTAATTTAAAAAATTCAGTGAATCTTAAAAAATGACCTGGATCCGGATCCATTTTATTCCAGTGCGGATCCAGGATCCGGATCCGGATCAGGATCCGAATCAAAATTTAATCGAACCTAAGCACTGGTTAATAATATTAATATAAAAGATCAAAAACAATGTTCCATCATGTATGGATTAGAGTTCTAAATATTTGTTTGTTTCCCAGCACCAGGCTCTTTGTCATGGAACCGGTTCAAAGTTTGTTTGCTCTGAATGTAAACAAACATTTATATCATCATCAGCTCTCAAACAGCACTCTCGTACTCACTCAGGCGACAAACCTTTCCAGTGCAACTTCTGCACCAAATCGTTCAGGTCTATTTTCCCATATTTTCGAAATTATAGTCGCCATTTTTTTCGGTCTTTTTATGAGATGACGAATATAAAAATGTACTTTTGTCTTGAGAACTTTCCTTAACAATTGTTTAAATAAAGTAACAATGTCGTAAACACATCTTACTCGTCTATTTGTTTTATGGTTTTTGCGATTTGTTAAATTAGAAATTGGAATTGGATCAATTTGCTCTGAGAAAATGTTTAAATTGAATTTCTGATGCAAAGTTCAATCTTCCTGAATTGGAAAATGTTTTTCTCTACTTTTCGAATTTCGCATCAGGATGAATTCCATAGAACTTTTTTGATTAAAAAATATTTTTATAATTAAGAGTTTAATCAGAAGAGAAAAATTCAACTAACAAATTAATTCATATGAGCAGTGTCCTTTTTTCAAATTTAGTTTCTGAATGATTCCATACTTGTGTTCCAGAAAGTTCTCAAACTACGTTTTCATGGTTTCTTATTTTATGTTTCAGGAGAAAATTTCATCTTGAAGTCCACAGTAAACGTCACGATAGCGTTCGCGAATACAGGAAACCATTTTTCTTAATTATTTATAAAATAGATAACTAGGATCGTTTCTTTGTCCCACACTTGTTTTCTGTTATTGATTCGATTCGATTCGATTCGATTTCATTCGATTTGATTCGATTCGATTCGATTCGATTCGATTCGATTCGATTTGATTTGATTTGATTGGATTTGATTTGATTTGATTTGATTTGATTTGGTTCGTGGGTTACCCTATGTTGTGGTACGTGTTAGTAAATTAATCTTTAAGGACTTTTAATATAATTATAGTAGTTGTGAATTCTTTAATGTCATTACTGTTATAAGGAGGCACGGGGTTATTAAAGTAAAGTTGAAAGAAAATAAATAATAGTTTGAAATTTCAATAATTTTCTAATAGAAAAACAAGAATTCCTCCATCAACGCGAAATGTTACCGATTTGTTCGTAAAATCGCAAATGACGCATCTTTGTATGCGTAAATTCAAGTAATGCAAAGATGTAATTGCTCGATTCACAGCAGTACGCGTTAAAGCGTTGTCTATTCAAGCATGAACGATATATTAATGTTTTTTTTTCTGAATTCTGATTTACAATTGTGGTTTCTCTACAAAATTAACTTGTGCGTTTCTACTGCATGACAAAAATTGCAGAATTAAACACTTAACCTAGAAATTGCAGAATTAAACACTATTAATCTAGAAATTGCAGAATTAAACACTATTAACCTAGACATTGCAGAATTAAACACTATTAACCTAGAAATTGCAGAATTAAACACTTAACCTAGAAATTGCAGAATTAAACACTATTAACCTAGAAATATTCCACTTTTTTTATGAGATAAAAGATTCAAAAATAATCTTGAAACTAATGAATTACCACAACATCAATTACACTAAAGTATTAACGTTTTATTTGGCCAATTGTTCAGTTGTGAGAGAAAAAATCTAAAATATTTAAATCAATATGGTTTTGATGCAGATGTATGGACTGTAACAAAAGTTTTCCCCAGCAAGCTGAGCTACGGAAACATGCCGGAGTTCACGCCACCGATAAATTTAAATGCTCACTTTGTGAAAAAACATTTCCAAGGAACTGGCACATTTTAAAAACCTAAAAAAAACACAAAAAACATGTGAAACAAAATCAATTCAAATTCAAAAAATGTTTGGCAAAAACACATATGACAAATAAAAAAATCTCATGACAAATAAGTGAAAATATGGAAATTAGTTTTCTATCATTACAATGTGTCCTGTGACCCCAGATTGGATGATGTAAAGCAGCATATGAAGAAACATAAACTACAATCTGAGGTAAGTCAACGGAGACAAAAACTTTTGAATAATCAAACCCATCAAAAAGCGCGCAATTCAATTTTTTTATTCCTTATCGGGCATTCTCATACTAATCCGCAAGCTTAAAACTCTAAGAAGTGGTTTAAATTTTTTAGACTTATATCAAGACCTTATTATGTATATCATTATATGATTATTATTACATCAATTAGTTATATCAAGACTTTATTATGTATATCATTATATGATTATTATTACATCAATTTCCAAAAAAGCCTGCACGCGGTGCTGGACTTCAAAAAGTAAATGATTCATTAAAATGGCTTCTTTTAAGGTACGCGTACCTTTACAATAACAAATATACTTTGTGAAGAAAAACAATTATTTTGAATGAAAAATTTCATGGGAGATTCCTGACCTCGAATTTTTTTTTTATTTCAATTGAAAACAAAATGTCAAATTTTCAAGATACAGGTGTTATATATTCACCACAAAAAATGTATGTAGAAGTAAATAAAAAATCTAATTTTTTTTTGTAAAAAAAGTTCATCCTATTCAATAGGGCTGGGCACGTTTAGCTTTTTTCAACTAGTTTGTTAATAAGAATAAGATTTAAGAAATCCGTTAGTTCTTAAATAGTAAAGAACCGACATTTTTGTTCAGATAACAACATTTTCCGTTCCTTTTCCTTTTTGTTGTTCGTTAACGAAATCTTTCCTTATTGTTTAAAAGCTTGTCATTTATTAACGGGACGTTGCACAGGCCTACTATTGAAATTGAATGTATTTTAATGATGAAAGGTACTTTCCCAAAGTTTTTGTACCAAGGATATTTTCTCAAATGGAAGCCTCCCAACCGTGCAATTTCAAGCGACAACTTCCCAATTCTGTCCTAGCCGCAGCACACTCGGTCCTCATTGCACCGTGCGGCACCTCAGAAGGCCAAACCTCTTGGATATTGCCGCTTGGGAAATTGCCACTCGGGGAAATATACATTTTATTACTGCACAGATTGATGTATGGTGATAAGGTTTACTGCCTTGCATGCAAACCATATCTATATACTATTGAATACATGATATTACTGCCTTGCATGTAAACCATATCTATATACTATTGAATACATTATATTACTGCCTAGCATGCAAACCATATCTATATACTATTGAATACATCATATTACTACCTAGCATACAAACCATATCTATATACTATTGAATACATGATATTACTGCCTAGTATATAAACCATATCTATATACTATTGAATACATGATATTACTGTCCAGCATGCAAACCATATCTATATACTATTGAATACATGATATTACTGTCTAGCATGCAAACCATATCTATATACTACTGAATACATGATATTACTGCCTAGCATGTAAACCATATCTATACACTACTGAATGCATTATAGTACTGTCTAGCATGCAAACCATATCTATATACTATTGAATACATGATATTACTGCCTAGCATGCAAACCATATCTACATACTATTGAATACATTATATTACTGTCTAGCATGCAAACCATATCTATATACTATTGAATACATGATATTACTGTCCAGCATGCAAACCATATCTATATACTATTGAATACATTATATTACTGTCCAGCATGCAAACCATATCTATATACTATTGAATACATGATATTACTGTCTGGCATGCAAACCATATCTATATACTATTGAATACATTATATTACTGTCCAGCATGCAAACCATATCTATATACTATTGAATACATGATATTACTGTCTGGCATGTAAACCATATCTATATACTATTGAATGCATGATATTACTGCCTAGCATATAAACCATATCTGTATACTATTGAATACATGATATTACTGCCAGGCATGCAAACCATATCTATATACTATTGAATACATTATATTACTGCCTAGCATGCAAACCATATCTATATACTATTGAATACATGATATTACTGCCTAGCATATAAATCATATCTATATACTATTGAATACATGATATTACTGTCTAGCATATAAACCATATCTACATACTATTGAATACATGATATTACTGTCTAGCATATAAACCATATCTACATACTATTGAATACATGATATTACTGCCTAGCATATAAACCATATCTTCATACTATTGAATACATGATATTACTATTCAGATTGATGTATCTGGACTAGGTCTACTGCCTGGCATGCAAACCATATCCGTCAAAACAGAAAAGTATAAAACAGAAGATGATGTTATAACAACCAAGGTAAAATTCAGAATACTTGTAAGTAAAGATATTTACTTAAAGGGACTGTAAGCGTAATGTCAAGCGACCCTTCACGCAAAGATAGCCAAGAGTATACCAAAATTGGCAACGGTACCCTTTAAAGGGAGTGACCGGATCTTGGTTAAACTGAGAATGCAGTATTGTAGAAAAAAAATTTAATTTTCATTTGAAACATATAAAACGTTTCCATAATGTATAATTACTGAGTTGAGTGCAAAGTCGACGTTGAAAATCATGAATTTGGGTTGGTATTTTTTTAGAATCGTTTTTTTAAATTTTTGAATATCGACGAAAAAAAATAAAATAAAAAATCTGTAGTAAGCTAATAAGATGTTTAGGAACATATTTCTCAAAAGAAATTTGTCAATAAATTAATGTTAGAGTCAATTCTTTCGTTTTCTTCATTATATTGAATTTCTAATTTTCTCTGAATTTGTTCGCAGATTTCTTAAAATTCTTCAAATTTCGTCTTTTCAATCAAAATTCCAGAAAATCTGCCTTAAATCTTAGTGAATAATTTGAGAAATTATGGAAGCTAATTAAATATTTTCGATGATAAGAGTTAATTTTTAAAATAAAAATATAAATTGTGAGCAGTTTTTATTTCTTTTTTTTCCATTCCTAATTTCGATATTATTGTCTTTTATTTTGTGTTTTTTGAGATAAAACGTAATTCCAAAGATGGGCGTACGAAGGACGGCACCCCGGTCTGATAAGTCCACTTAAGAATATTGCTTGCAACTTGTGCCCCCCCCCCCCTATAATAATGCTCTTGTACGCCCCTAATTCCAAAGGGTATTAAATATATATGGAATGTTTGCATTACCATCTTATTTTTAGATTTTAGCAGATGATTTGAAATGGCATATATCTTTCTATTCTTGCATTTTATTAACAAACTTATTAAATACAATTTTCACACAGTCTTTCATAGTGATTTTATAAACTTTTGTCCATGCTGCATAGTTTTTCTTTATTTGGTGTAAAAAGATATATTGTTATGTACGTGCACAGATTATTACAGTTGCTTGCACTTCTTCCATGATTGTGCACTTAACACCTGTTGTTGAAAACTTGAACAAATCCCTTAGCTTAAATTAGGAAATAAGACGCTTATCAACACTTGTTCTTAATTACTATCTGTCAATGAATTAGTTGACTAAATGCAGCCAAGTTGTTTTATTAAGTTGTGAGGGGCTTTGATCTAAAATAAAAATTAATAAGCAGAAAATTATTATGAAGGTGCACTTTACTCTACATATATTTTACTCTTGGTCAATGAATAATGCATATTGGTGGGTGTGTAATGTTAAAAATATATTTTGGTCAAGAATATTGAAGTGAATGGAATTGGTTGAGTGCTTCATGTAATCTAATCTTTATAGCTCTGTAGTAGTTTATGTTTTTCAAGAAACATTATCAGAGCTGAAAACTTTAGAATGAGATATCCTTAATCCCTATTACTTAATCTGAGTATCCAATGGACACACTTTTGATTTTCTTCTTAATCCTTTTTTGGATGGCTGTATAAAAGTTACTTTTGATAACAATTACAGATACGATGCTATATTGATTGGACTAATATCCGATTGAACTAAAGTCAGCTGTTCACAAGCGGGCTTTTAGAGCATTTAAACAAATATAAATTTAATCATGTTAACATTAACTTGTTAAAAAAACATATTTTATCACATTTAAGGACTTTTGAACATTAGTCTTAATAAACATTAATCCAAAACTTTCATTCGTTCAATCGATCTTTAGTTCAATTGATATGACATCATCAACACCAGAAATGAGCAAAGAAAAAACCGGTTTTCCAAAAGTTAAAGAATGCATCTTAGCATGACACGCTGATTGGTTGAATTTTAAACTTCTTACTTGCGATATTGAATGCGTATTAACCTAATCTCGGGTTTAGTAAAACCAGGAGATCAAGCGTTGATCTCGATATCCACCATTCTAAAGTTTTCAGCTAAGATCAAAGATAAACACAGTTGATCTCCTTGTTTTATTAATCTCAGATTTAATCTGTAGTTTGAATCCAGAAAAATGTATAAAATTCAACCATTAGAGTGGTGTATGCAGACTTCCAAACAGCTTATCAGAAGTGCGGAAAATGTAATTTTGCGCGCCAGTTAATGCGAGAACTTTAATTGGTCGGAATATGATAGGGAAAATAAAATTGTCCTCATTGGTTATTCAGATTAAGCGATCGGGATTTAGGGTATTCAATATTAAAGTTCCCAGCTCAGATCAGAGACAGGATTTAATTCAACAGAAGAGTTTCCAAATACACTTTTCTTGAGAAAATCATTTCTCTTCATGCTTCATAATTAGATTACTAGTTCTAAATGCAGAGTCCTGTTTAGTTCATTAAACACATAGTAATATTAATAAGCTTACTGTGAAGCCAAGTTAATCTAAATTAGAAATAATTTCTGGAAACATATCTTTTCTTTGATTAAACAAAGGTTAAAAGATATATATCCTGAAGGGATCCGTTGTGAGTTAAACAATACCATAGATGGAGGGTCACTAGAATAAATGCCCATCGTCCCTTTAAGGGATTTTAGGCTTAAAAAGAACTAAGCTGCATAACCAGGGAGTAAGGAATAGAAGGAAGATATAACTGACGCGGTTCGCCCTACCATATGATTATACATGCTTTGCGGATGGGTACTTCATTTGAATAAGAAATATGTACATTTACTACGTATACAATAACCTATTCTGAATATTTCATATACAAATGGAGTACCCGTCTGCAAAGCATGTATAATCATATGACAGGGCGAACCGCGTCAGTTATATCTTCCTTCTATTCCTTACTCCCTGTGCATAACACAAATGTAACTAATTTCTTAATCAACCTAATAACGTTCTTCAAAAGCTCAAATGACTGCAAATGTACTGGATGGTTAAGACTATACTGTAAAGTGTACAGCAAATGTACTGGTTTTTTAAGACTGTGTACTGTAAAGTGTGCTGCAAATGTACTGGTTTGTTTAGACTGTGTATTGTAAAGTGTACTGCAATTGTTTAATGTTTATGTGAAGACTATGTACTGTAAATTGTAATGCAATTGTTAATATTAAGGCTGTGTACTGTTAATTATACTGCAATTGTTTTGTAAGACTATATTGTAAAGTGTACTGCAATTGTTTATGTTTAGACTGTGTACGTGATGGAGCCTGATGTACCAGGGGGTTCAAGTACAGTGCAACTCCTGGGACCAGGTTAGTTATTTCTCTTACAGGGTAAATAAAGTTATTAAGGGAAATAAAGTAAATAATTCTTAGCAAAATGTTGTCAATATTCTTGTTTTCCGATCTGTGGGTTCCAATAAAATAACTTGCGGGCAGAGGAAGCGAAAAAAATAGTTAGAATTGATCACTTTTTAGAAGCACGACGAACCTATATAAAATGGGCATGAAACGGACATGAAACGGACATGAAACGGACATGAAACGGACATGAAAAGGACATGAAACCGACATGAAACGGACATGAAACGGACATGAAACGGACATGAAACGGACATGAAACCGACATGAAACGGACATGAAAAAAATAATTTTTTGAAATTACGGTGTTCGCACCTTTCATAAAAAAAAATCATAGACAGGATAATTCATGGAAAAAGAAATTCATAGAGAAGACATTTCCGAAACAATTTCAGGTTTTGGAAATATGAAATGTCCTGTCTAAAATGTCCTATCCATTAAATGTCTTGTTTATTAAATGTCCTATCTACTAAATGTCCTGACTACGAAATGTCTTCTATGAAATGTACTAGCTATGAAATGTCCCGTCTATGAAATGTCCTATATAGGAAATATCCCAACACCTAAATTACATTCACAGTTCCATTAAATTTCCTAATATTTCAATATTATAGGATCACCATACACCCTTGGAGTTCCCCAGCTACGGAGTGATAAAGAGGTTCATTTTTTACAAATATTGTCCTGTTAGTTAAAGGGACTGTTTTCTTTTCTGTCATCCACATGAAATCTAAATTTTTGGAATATTTTCCGTTTTTGAACAATGCAATATGATTGCACAAGATTTTAAATTTTAGATGTTCAATTATTTGAAACACGAAAATCTCATTTTTTAACAAAATGCTTTATTATTTTATACAGAAGGTAATTAATATTGCTTATTTGACATTGTCACTTTAAGAAACTTTAACAAAGTAGGATTTCCATCGCAAGTGGATTTTAAAATTTTATTTTTTGCGCAAATCCACACAATTCCGCGCAACGGGATTCCTATTGGAAACCCTATGACAACTATTATTTTTATTATGATAACCATTCACCGCATACACAATTGGACATTTGTGGAGAGTAGTAAAAACTAAAAAGTGGTTTGTTTGTTTTATCGTTAATTTTAAGTTATAGCTTCAACAAATATTTAGTTAAAATGACAACATTTTAGGTGGGAGAGACGATCGTTATTTCTTCAAGTGGGAAGCCTCAAGGAGACTCGTATATCATATATGATTTATAAATCATTCATTCAGGAAAAACTCAGATTATTTAAAAACAATTGTGTAAACTGCTTATTCTATACGACATGTACATTAGAAGGTTCAAACTATGTGCTTTATTATAGCTTCCAAATGTAACGTACTAAAATGTTTAGGTTCAAACAAGAACTAATTGTAAACAACATGTCCATTAAAGGGACTTAATGCGTAATTTTAAGTAACCCTTCATTTTTAGAGTGGCGTGTATGATTCACACGGCAATTGAACACTTTTCTAGAGATAAACGCACTGAGTTCTCTGGCCTCGACGATAAATTAAAGAATTATTAGGTACCATTGTAAATCAGGCATTGCCATCTTTGCATGAATTGTCGCTTGAAATTATGATGACCAAGTCCCTTTAAAGGGAGTGACCGGCTAAGGTAGTTGAACTGGGTTGCAGTGTTGTGGAAAACTTCTTTCGGATTCATTTGAGACATATTAAACTTTTTAAAGATCTGTAAATCCTGAGTTTGAGCGCTAAATCGACGTTCAAAACTCCCACTTTGGGGATGGATACGTTTTCAGAATTAGTTTTTTTTTAATTATTAAATAACGACGACATAAAATGTAAAAAATGTTCTACAATAAACTACAGACGTCATGTATAGGAACATGTTGAGAAAATAAAAATTAATCTAATCATCGAAAATAAGTAATCTTGTTCAATTATTAGTTTGTATTTTCTCATTATTCTGGTTTCTCATTATTCACAAAGATTTTCGCAGATTTTCTAGAATTCTTATTGAAAAGACATTTGAAGAATTTGAAGAAATCTGCGAATAAATTCAAAAAAGATAAGAATTTCAATATAATAATGAAAACAAAATAATCGATTTTAGCATCAATTTATTGACAAATTTCCCTTGAGAAATATGTTCCTAGCCATCTAATTAGATTACTGTATAATTTTTACTTTATTTTTCGTTGTCATTATTTAATAATTGTAAAATACTAATTCTGAAAACGTATCCATCCCTTAAGTGGGAGTTTTGAACGTCGAATTTGCGCTCAAACTCAGGATTTACAGATCTTCAAAAAGTTTAATATGTCTCAAATGAATCCGAAAGAAGCTTTCCACAACACTGCATACTCAGTTCAACTACCTTACATAGCCGGTCACTCCCTTTAAGGCGTATAAAAAGCGGAGTAGGAAATACGGGAGAAGGAATATAAAGTAGAGGAGAAATGTTAGGAAATTATTGGTTACTGGCAAATGGACAAGAGATATAAAGTCAAAATGAAAAATTGACGATTGAAAAGTTTAAGTTATGGAATCTAATAAGTTGAACTAAGAAAAACTTGAATAAAATTGACAAAAGTGGAAAGAAAAAGAAAACGATAACGGAGTAAATATGATAAATTTACTCAAAGTACCAACTGCTACATTTACATTTTCAGTGATCTTTGATTTTTAAATTATTAAAATTTTACGTAGGACAAGAATGAATTCTTCAAATTATAAAAGCGCTGTGAATTCTTAATAATTAAACTTTAAATATGCAACTTCATGCTTATTCATTCTTTAAACATTCTTTCGTATTCAGAATATCTACTAGTTTCTCCGTTTAATAACAGTTAAAATTTAAAAAAGATTTTAATACAATTATAAGTTTGATGTTTTTTATTTAAAGCCTTTGTTTATGTGCATCCGAAATGTTAGTAGATCTTTTTTCTTCGCTGATGACTGGTACATTGTACATGAGTGTACAGTGTACTGTGTACATGTACACTGTAAGGTATGAAATGCTTATTTTATTTCCTATCTGAGTTAATTTACTTTGTCTGTATTATTAGTATTATGTTAAGATAATATAATTAGTTTCCTTCATTATATTAATATATATTTTCCAGATATTCTCCTTTTTCACATGGTTTCTTATTTTGTAATGTTTGACATTTTCCCAAAATCAGCAAAATGTTTGGTGTGATGTTTTTCGAAAAATAGCTTTTTCAAATTTTGTTACTATGTAGCTCATTCAAACAAAATTTGTCTATTTAAGTTTTTAATTTTTAAGAGTAGCAGGATAAAATAAATTAATTTTTAAGGGAATTGTTCACAAAAAAAATTCAAACGGGTTATGAATCGAATGGTAAGAATTTCTAAAGGGAAAATTATTTATATAGGAAAATAAATTATTTTTGGGGGTTAAAATTATCAAAAATGTTCAAATTTGACGTTTTTGACTATTTCTTAGTTTCTGCAGAGCATCAAATATCATCCCCCATCCTTGTGAAGGTTATACATACCTCTTTTCAGTATGTTTTGTATCCTCATTGTATTCCATAAATTCTATTCCAAACTTCAAGATACCATTATTCTATAAATATCGTTATTTATTTCTAACTAGATAAGTAGTTCATTCTACCTCTCACTCATCGTTTACTAATCCTACCTAATCTTCAAATGTTTTCACACCAGGAATATTTGGTCGGAAACTGTATTACCGATTTAGTCCAGATGAGGAAGATTTTATCTAGAACTCGCCACTTGCTATTATTATTATTACTCTTGTTCCTGTTCTTGTTCCTGTTCTTGTTCTTGTTTTTGTTCCTGTTCTTGTTGTTGTTCCTGTTCTTGTTCCTGTTCTTGTTCCTGTTCTTTTTTCTGTTCTTGTTCCTGTTCTTGTTCCTGTTCTTTTTCTTGTTCCTGTTCCTGTTCTTGTTCCTGTTCTTGTTCTTGTTCTTGTTCTTGTTCTTGTTCTTGTTCTTGTTCTTGTTCTTGTTCATGTTCTTGTTCTTTTCTTGTTCTTGTTCTTGTTCTTGTTCCTGTTTTTATTCATGTTCTTGTTCTTGATCTTGTTCTTGTTCTTTTTTCTTTTCCTGTTCTTCTTGTCCTTTTTGTCCTTCTTGTTGCTTTTTTTTGTTGCTTGTTCTTGTTCTTGTCCTTATTCTTGTTATTGTTATTGTTTTTGTTCTTATTATTGTTCTCATTATTGTTCTCATTATGCTTCTTGTTCTTCTTGTTCTTTTTCTTCTTGTTCTTCTTTTTCTTCTTGCTCTTCTTGTTCTTCTTGTTGTTCTTGCTGTTCTTATTCTAGTTCTTGTTCTAGTTCTTGTTCTTGTTCTTGTTCTTGTTCTAGTTGTTCTTGTTGTTGTTGTTCTTGTTATTCTTATTCTTATTATAATTGTTCTTGTTATTGTTATTGTTATTGTTATTGTAATGGTTGTTGTTATTATTATTATTATTATTAAAATGCTTCTTGTTTATCTGGGCAAAACTGATCTTGTTTAAACATTAATTATCATAAGTATGCTTTTGTGTGTATTTTACTGATTACAAATATGCACACTCAACATTAAAAGATTTATTTTCAGTAAATTGCAATCAGGAGTGTTAATTTGTTCCCCTTTTGAAAAAAAAATTTTAGGATTTTATAGACTTAATTTGCTAAATTGGGAAAAATAAATGCATTTTAAGTAAAAATAGTTAAATTGGGGGGGGGGGGGAATGTACTTAAAAGTATGAAAAAAACTTGCCTTTTGAGGTGTAATTTTTCATTTTTTCATCCCCTGGCTTCGGCGTAGTCTAATTCTTAAAAATATACACCCCTCATTTGTTGAGCTAAATTTCACGCAACGATTTTTTAATGCATTTCTACACATTTTGCGTAAAACAATTTGCATTGAAGACAGGGTTATTTTAAGCATTAAAATCAAGCGCAATATTGCGCAAATTTTTTGTTGCAAATCATTGCGCTTGCTGTAATAACAATTTGCAATGAAGATTTTGTAATTCAATAAATAATAATACAAATTTTGTATGATTCCAATTATCACATTTTGAAACTAATAATTATTACTTATTAGTAGATACATAACAGTTTAAAAAATAATGTTTTTAATTCATCTTCCATTACTAACTTCTACGTAGTTAAAGATGAATAGACAGGGAAGGGGTTTGCAAAAATAATTATTCAATTCAATCAATTTAAAGCTGAAGCGCATATAATTCATTTTTATATATTCTACATACTTTATATGTGTATTATAGACTTAGGATGAATATGAAAACTAAAATCTTTTTACAAATAACTTAATTTTTTAAACAGAGTTACAATATCCCTCTAATTTTTTAGATGTAATAAAAGAACAGGAAGTAAAATACTTTGCAAGTGGAAGGGGGGGGGGGGTTGAAACTTACGAGCGGGGGTAGGGAAGTAATATAATGTTTTTTGGTAAGTAGCCCTGTTCTATTTAATGTCTACACTCTTAGGGATAATTGGATAGATCCCTCAATTTTAGTTCAAATTAATGCAAGTTGGGAAATAACCAATAGGAATTAATTTAATGCTTAAGACAAACAAAAGTAACAAATAACAACTTTATCCAGAAAATAGCAACATACAAGTTTTGATCTCAGGTTACTCTGGAATGAATGAATGGAACCAACATAAGTAATTATATTTCCAGCTGAGCTAGATTTTATTATCCAGACATATTTGAGTACAAAAAGTCCATTTGCCTAATTACTAATTTTTTAATTAGCACAGTGTATATACTTAATTTGTTATAATTGAAGATTAATGTAAGCTTGTCATCCCAGGGGAGTTTATTCTTACAAAAGTTGAATTGTTCCCCCCCCCCCCTGTCATTGTTGCCAAAAAAAATACTCAGCTTTTTATTGCAAACTAGCTATACTTGCCAATAACATTACCATTCTGAAATAAAGGGAATATACATTTTGAATTTTCTTTCCCAGACTCCTAGAGTTATAAAGAGATGGGAAGGGGGGGGGAGTGTTACAAAGAACTTTGACACCTAATATTACCTCGTAATTTTTTTTTACAATTTGGTGTCATGCCATTTTCCACAAATCAGGTTTCCTTTGTTTCCAGGCAAATTTGGATGGATATTCTTGATTTGTCAATCAAGTCTAATTTGATTGATGTTCTCAAGAAAAATTTATAAATACAGTGAGTTCTTTTTCTTTTAATATAGATTTTCTTCCCTTTCTTCCATTTTTTCTCTGTTATTCCCCTTTTTTCTTTCTCTTCTTATTTTACTTTTTTATTCAGAATTTATTTTATTTCTTTCATTTCTTCTGTTTTTTCTTTTTTCTTCCTTTTTTCTTTTATTTTTTTCTTTTTTTTCTTCCTTTTTTTCCTTTTTTTACTTTCTTCTCTGGGCTGAATTCTTTTGTGGGGTGGGGGGGGGTTGGGAATATGAATATACTCCAATGTGTCATTCAATCTTTAGAAATATATGCTGTAGAATCATAAATATTATTAGAATTGTTAATAGATTACTATAAAACACACCACTGAAATTTGAGCGATTCCTGTTGAGAAAATGTAGCTGTGAAAAAAAATCTATTTACTTAAAGATCATTTTCTTTTATACCATATTTCTTTCAAAAGCTTCAGAAGCACAAAGGAAATAATGAATGAAATATGATATACTTTGAAAATATTAGAGTGTCAATTTGAAATAGTAAACTCTTTTTCGGTGCAAATATAGACAGCAATGGTATTAGTTTTATTTTTCTTTCACTCAGTTTTAGATATTGAGAGAAAATATGTATAACATGGTTATAAGAAATGTTTTAAAGATAGAGAGCTTACAGTGTTAATGTCAGTTTTGAATTACAATTACTTATTCCATTTTGGGTTTAAATATATAGACAGGGACCAAAATTAATGAATTTGCTTAGTTGCTGAACTGCCTATCACCAGTTCAAATTTGAATCACTGATTCTAATTCTTTCTTAATCTTTAACTTTGAATCAGTGGTTCAATGAAATTCAATTTCAGGAGTGAAAAAAAATTCTCCTCCTTCTTGTTCCTAAATTTTTAAAATTATGTTCAAATGCTGGATTTTTTATCTTTAGGGGGGAAAATTGAAGGAAGAAAAAAACTGGGAATCCATATGAAATGCTGGGAATTCTTTACCTGGTGGCTTTATTAACCTTAATTTTAAATTTTTCTGATTTCTATTTTTTTAACTAAAACAGATACGCTCGTCGTTTTTTGATATATTGATTATGTTTTCTTCCTTTGAAATTATTCTTGTTAAAAATAAAATTTTCAATCTTTGTTTATCTATAGTGGTAGGCGATTATATCAAACCTACTTTGGATTTCAACCTTGATTTATATGCAGCTGTTTAACATGGATACTTAATTATATAGAATTCCAAGAGAAGCTGTCAATCAAAAAATCTTGTCTTTACCTGCTCTTAAACTTGTAATTAAAAAATATTTTAATTAACAATTTAAACTTTATTTAAAAATTTTTCTTCATTGTATTGATATGATTTTTTACCACTATATTGTTTACCTTAATGTCTTTTTGCAATAAGCAATAATGATTCTCTTTCAGATAAAAAATGGGAGATGAACAAATTCCTCAGTATCTTGCTGAGTTTCTCTCACAGGAATATATCTTTCAAATGATTTTAAGAAAGTGTTGATATTGCCAGGACAAAAAAACTTCATGTAAGAGTGTTTCAAAAACATTGCAGTACCTAGAGCCTCAATTTTAAACTATTTTGATATCTTATAAAATTTTCTGGTTAAATGGTGTAAACTAGAGGCAATTTTGTCAGTCTTGTAACTAGTTTTAATCAAGTTTGAAGATTTGTTATACCTTTGATGCAGAGTAATTTTATTTTTCTGCAAAATAAAAGACTTAGTAGAAATATATTTTGGGTTCTGCCAATGAAATATAATTCAAACTTTTCTAAACATTGGATGGAAAATCCAGATTATGAAAAAAAAAGTGGCAAAAAGAAAAGATGACATGTATGGTGCAAGAAAGGGGGGGGGGCATAAGTCGTATTACTCTTCGGTAAAATTAAAAAGTGGATAAACATTTTTTGCATGTGAACTCACTAATTTGTATTGTAACTGCTAAATGCAATTTCAAATGAATCGGAGCAAACAAGTGTGCGCGGTTTTTGTTAAAAAGTGAGACTTTTTTATGTTTTTATATGCTTTAAAACCATTAAATGAACTTGAAATTGTATCAGGACGTGATTGAACAAGAAATTCCTTAAATGTTTGCGCCCAAGAGCCTCAAGTCCTCACGTGCGCGCGCAAATATGAAAAATTATAAATAAATATATTTTAATTTAAGGTGGGCCTAATTTAAAACAAAAGTAGCATGGGATATATCAAATTACAGAAACTAAATTTGCAGCTCATTGAATTGTGACTGCAGTTATTAATATTTATATTTTTTTAAGTTAAAAACCTATCAGTCATTTCTTGAATTTTTGAGAGGAAAAGTTATGAATCCCTCTTTGTGGTTTTTTGCTTCATCATGAAAGATATTTGTGAACAGGGTGACTGGATTGGTGTTCCTGGCGAGGTACAATCAGACAAATTATATACCTTTTTTGTTTTTAAAATTATTTTTGATATTGGGGTGTTTATTTTATAGTAAAATGCTCCCCTGGGAGAAAAAAATTAAAATTGGATACAAAATAGCAACTCTTTTCATTATAATTTTATTTTCTACAAATCCTCTATTTAAACTCTAAAAAAAATGTGTGTGTTTGGGACAGGCTTATAATTGGAGAGAAAAATGATTTTGATAAATGGGGGTCACTTCAATTTTGGAGTGTGGGTGTAGGACATCTCTAAAAGAATGATTTGATTTGATTTGGGGTGGGGGCAGAAAAATGATTCTTCAAGAAAATATACTCCCCTGTTCATTTTCCAGAGTTTTAAAAAACTGAGAAAATCACTTCTTGGAGCATCATTGTTTAATGGAAGAGAATTTTATCAGATTTCAGAATTAAAAGCTTTTATAATACTTTCAAATCCTCTTGTTGAGTTTAAGGGAAAATTAGAAAATTCTTTAATCAGATTTAGTTTACTTGAAATTGTTGAGTTTAGTCTACGTCAGAAATTTTGATTTTGTTCAAATCTGAAATGGTGACATTCCATTTGTTTTGCAAGCTTTTTTAATATCTCTGAAAAAGAGTGTCAAATATATAATGGAAAGTCATTATATCTGAGATTTGAAACCTGCAAAGTTTTGACAGTTAATTTGTTACCTTGCGACTTCCAAATTGGATTTTTTGTTGTTAACTTATTGGTATCAAGTTGGAGGGTTATATATTTTGTTAAAAATTCTCCCCCTCAGCTTTCATGGGCTCTACTAAGTAGGCATTTAGTTGTACCAGCACAACATGCTATATTCATACAGAAGATTTTTGACTGCCATCTTACTGCCACTAGTTGAAGAACAAGAAATGTAGAAATCTCAAAATATTTCAATCTGGTTTCGTATATAATTTTAAAAATATTTTAAATTTTAATTTGAATAAATTATTGAATTAAAAAAAGATGTATACTTAAAAAGTCAAGGTTTAGTCTGGTCTATGGATTAGTCTGGTGTAGGGTTAGTCTGGTTGACGTTTAGTCTGGTTGAGGTTCAGTCTGGTATAGGGTTACTCAGGTATAGGGCTAGTTTGGTCAAGGTTTAGTCTCGTAAAAGATTAGTCTGGTCTAAGGATTACTCTTGTCAAGGTTTAGTCTGATCGAGGTTTAGTATGGACTTAGGATTAGTCTGGTATATGGTTTGTCTGGTATTGGGTTAGTCTGGTGTAGGGTTAGTCTGGTATAGGGTTAGTTTGGTCTTAGGATTATGCTGGCCGAGGTTAAGTCTGTTATAGGGTTAGTCTGGGTTAAAACCCCAAAACTAATAAAGAGATTTTAATTTGATTTGTACTACCACTCTTGTACAATTTAAAAAAGAAAATGTTAAATATAAATTCTATTTTAGATTGTTTGTATACCGAACTCTGATTTTGTAATGGTTCAGCCAAGTCGACATTTTCTCAACAATCCGGAACTTTATCAGTACAACCAGCTTACAAGGGTATGTACAGTACAACCAGTTTACAAGGGGATGTTCAGTACAACCAGTTTACAAGGGTATGTACAGTACAACCAGTTTACAAGGGTATGTACAGTACAACGAGCTTACAAGGGTATGTACAGTACAACCAGTTTACAAGGGGATGTTCAGTACAACCAGTTTACAAGGGTATGTTTAGTATAACCAGCTTACAAGGAAGTGTACAGTACTATATACCAGGGTACTATATGGTATAAACATTACAACTATGTAACTAGGGTATGCACAGTACAACTAGGATACTGTATGGTATGTACAATGCAACCAACTTACAAGGGTATGTACAGTACAACAAGGATACTAAATGGTAAGTAAATTACAACTAGGATACTATGGTATGTAGTGTACAACTAGAATACCATGGTATGGACAGAACAATCAGCTTACAAGGGTATGTACGGTTCAACTAGGGAACTAGGGTATCTACAGTATAAGGGTAAGTACAGTACAACCAGCTAACAAGGGTTTTTAAAGTACAATTAGGATACTATATGGCATGTACATTACAACTAGAATACTACGGTATGTACAGTACAACTAAATTACTATGGTATGTACAGTACAACTAGGTTACTAAGGTTTGTACAGTACAAATAGGTTATTATGGTATGTACAGTACAGTTAGGTTACTTTCGTATGTACACTATACAGTACAACTAGGTTACTATGTTATGTACTGTACAACTAGTATACTATGGTATTTACAGTACAACTAGGTCACTTTGGTATGTACATTGTACGCTTTACAGCACAACTAGGTTACTGGTCTGGTAAGCACAACTAGGTTACTATGGTATGTACAGTACAACTAGGTTACTATGGTATGTACAGTACAACTAGGTCACTATGGTATGTACGTACAGTACAACTAGGGTACTATGGTATGGTAAGTACAACTAAGAAACTATCGTATGTACACTGTACAGTCCTACTAGGTAACTATTTAAAACAGGTTCCTCAGCAATAAGGTGCAGAATTATATAATAATATTTTAAGTTTTTAAAATACTAGCCTCTTCTAAAGTAATTGTGAACAAGTTCTCTTTGTGTACATCGTAAAACAAAACAAAAATAATTCGCGGATTTTCACAAAAAAATTCGTGGATTTTAATGATTTAATGAAGATCGAATTTTGATGGAGACAAATATTTGAAATTTTTATCATTCATAAACCTTCCCTGTGGTCATGTGATGTCCCACACAAAAATTTGGGCCCGATCGGTTCAGCCGTTTTGACGTTTATTGGATACAAACAAACAGACATACAGACAGACAAGCCAAAACAAATTAGATGGGGGTAGGTTCATGAAAATTGATTTCTAGAAATTTTTTAGAATTAGAACACAGACAAATTTACACCATGATGATATTGATTTTGTAGAAACTTTTAAATCTTTGAAATCAGAAACCCCCTAAATCAAATGTGTTTTGCACTGTCTGGGATAAATATATGCAAATAATGCTAATTTCTCCCCCAACCCCTCACATAAGCTGTTTTGCTCCTTAATTTTGAAGTTGTGAGTTCCTCCCACACTGCAGTTCACAAATTTGAGATTTTGAATTTGAAGGCTCAAGGTTTTTTTCCCTTGGTTAAGACTAAAATTCAGTTTTTATTCCAAGTTTTTATTTCGTAGAATTTCTCCTTCAAATCATTCATTTTCTACCCAAAAGCATCAAAAATCTTTCAACAGATTTTCAGTCTGTGTCAGCATGCCTTGTGTACTTGGGAAATATTTATTTTTTGAGTGGGGGAAATACACACCCCTGCCTAATTTTGGGAATATCATTTCAATAACTTATCATTTTTCCAGTCATGGGATGAAGTAAATCCGAACTCACAGCGTAATCCTCTTACAGTAGAAACCCTAATGGTGGATCGTGCTCTTCAAGAACGGCGCCTTGCGGCTTTACAGCAGATCTACCCAAGCAATACTCTTGCACAGCACAATGGTACTGCACAGAAGATAAATCCATCCAGTACTGTTGCACAGCGAAGTGCTTTTGTACAGGGAATCAACCCAGCTGGTAATCCTGTACAGCAAAGTGCTATTGTACAACGGAACAACCAATCCATTACTCATGTGCAGCGCAATGCTGTACAGATGATCAACCCAAACAGTACTCTTCCTCCGAGCTTTAATACTGTTCAGCAGATTAATCCGTCCAGTTGTCTTGAACAGCTGAGTTCTATTGGACAGTGGAACAACCAATCCAGTTCTCTTCCACTGCGGAGTATTACTGTACAACAGGCCGGGATATATAATGTTGTTAAAAAATTAAGCCCCCCCCCCCTCCCTCTCACAAGATCATTTTTTAGGGTTTTGGGAAAAGGATACAAAAATGGGTAAATTGTGTTAAAATATCAAAGAGATGTCTATTGTCTAATTATTCATGGTTGTCCTCCAATACTTCCAAAATAATTATATACCCATCGAGATATTAGTAATAGAGGGGGCATCTGGAATTTTAGACTTCTTGTTGTACAGCCACTGTACACAATGACCTGATCAGAAATTCTACCTGGGAGGATCATAATTCGTAGATCAGTGTTTTAAGACATTATATTGTTTGAAAGTGAAGCCTACAATATTCAAGCAAAGAAAACAAGGCCATATGATTTTTGTATAAAAATGAGACATGACAAATAGAGAAAAAAAATAAAATCCTTCTCCTTAATAACTTGTTTCTTATCAAATTCTTAATACTTCTGAAATCTACATTGTGTATCAACTCTTAGGAATATAGGTTTCTGACTTTTAGAATGAAAAGCAATTCTGAACTAATAATATATTTAAATTAGGTTAGACTCAATTTTATAGTTACAAGGCTTTTAGGGCCCTTCAGGCCCATCTTCTATTTAAATTGTGAACATGTTCTTTTTGTTGAGTGCAGTAGGAGCTGCAAATTTTTTTGAGAAGTTCATATTTGTGCATTGCTTCATGATTGGCATTCTTTTAGAATTTCTGGATGTTGGGTTGTGAGAGTGTATATCACTTTAACCCTATTCCTGCTTGGATTGTTGAAAAATATTAAAATTAACTGTCCACACAATACCGTACAAATAGATGTACTTAGGATTAAACCCACTGTACTCTATGATACCAACTCAGTCATAAGGAAACATTTTTCGACAAAATTCACTGTACAGTATAAACCTAGCCAGGCAAAATTAGGAGATTTATGCCCGCCCCCTGTATATACCCCTTGACAGCAGTTTGACCCTTCAGTAATCTGTACTGTACAGAGCAATCGCATTCAGCAATGTAGGTTTTCAACACCTCCTGTTTCCTCTATTATACAACATTTCAAACCTTATGTACAGCAGAACATTTCTACCGTACAGCAGAACATTCCTACCGTACAACAGAACTTTTCTACTGTACAACCGTCTATCAGCAATGTACAAGAGTTCAGGTCTGATAAAATTTTGCCATGCATTTGTATAATGTTGAATGGAATGCAATGGGATAGTATCAAAATTTGGTCCTGATTTTCACAAATATATTCTCTTTTTTTTATTATCTTTCCTGGCCTTGCTGCACAGTGTACATTCTTTAGAAACAATTTTTTTTTTTTCCCAAATGTTGAAAATAATTACTAGGAAAAGTCAATTTTTTGAGGAAAACATATTATAAAGTATTTTGAATCACTTTCAATTTTATGTAGGGTGTATTTGAAAAGATAGTAATGCTTTATATCTGTTTTAATTGTTTTAAATTTATTTTATGTTAGAAAATATTTTAAGAAACCATGGTTTATGTTAGAAAATATTTTAAGAAACCATGGTTTATGTTAGAAAATATTTTAAGAAACCATGGTTTATGTTAGAAAATATTTTAAGGTCTGACAGAGAGCTGGCTGATAACCTCTGCTCTTCGGGTAACAATATTTTAAATTTAATGTTATTTAAGTACACTTCAAATCTGGAGAAAAATACCTTCCATTTTCTATCTGAAAATTAAAACAATTTAAGAATCAATTAATATTGACAATCCCATATCTTTCAGAGAAACATTGAATTTGTGCTCATTCTATTCCTTTTTGCAATAGACTTAAAGGGAATATTCACGTAAATTTAAAGGGGGTATATTCTAAAGCCCAGAAATTTTAAAGCTTTAGCCTATACCACCTTTCATTTTACCTAAACAGTCCCTTTAACAATATCTTTAAAGGAATTATAGTTTTACTTGAACAATTTAATAAGAGCTGGGTATTAAACCACTACAGTGGTTACTAGTCATTGTATAAATGAATACAAGAATTTTCCCGCTTTTTCTTTAATAAGAAATATTTATAACCAACAAGTTACGTATATAGATTAAAAAATTATCATGAGAATGGTGTTTCCATTAATTTTTTTCATGAAATTTTATTTACCTTGTTTTATTTTATTTTGATGTTTATTTATTGTTGGTGTTGTGTTATTTTTTAACCTCCATACATTTTCGTGATTTCTTGAAAGGGAAAGCTTCAAATTTTTTATTATGTTTTCAGAAATCTTCCATGAATGTTATTTTTCGTGTAGTTTGTGTAAATGTTAGTAAATTTGTTTGAATAATCTTTCAATTTAAAATACTTATAACTTCCAGTATCCTTTTGAAATTGAAAGAATTTGAATGCTAAATTGAAGAGATAAAAATTAATGTTGGATTATATAGTTTAATTTATTAAATGGCAAAATTAACTTTGTTTTAGGAAATTATCCAGAATCTTTGGAGACTAATAAGGTTAATTTAATTTTTAATTTATAATCAATTTTTTATATTTGTGTGTCTTATTTTTTTTGTTAAATGTATAGGTTTTCTAATTTATGCTAATCTGGATTCAGCTCAGCTTTACAGTTTTATTTTAAAAAGAACAAATTAATATATTTCTAATGCTTTTCATCTTTGTTATGATAAAAATTTGAGGACCGAAGTTAAACCGAACTCTTTTTGTCAGTATTTTAGAATTGTGTTGACATCAAAAAGTTTTGCTCATAAATTTTGGTTGCCATTTTTCATAAACAATTAAAACTAATGCAGTGATTCCCAAAATTTAAAACAAATTTTATTCGTGAAACTTCTTAAAGTTTGAAATGGATATTATTCAGGAAACTCTTCATACTGATGATGATGATGGTGATAGTTTAGAAAGTCAGATGGATAAAAGAACAGAGGAAGCAAGGAAGGAAGCAGGAGGATCCAAAACGGATACAGAACAGGAATTGCATGAGCAGATGAAGCATCAAGTACAAAGAGGGACTTCTCATCCAGAAGAAATAATCAGAAAAACCATCATGAAAGTCAGAGCTGAAAGAGAAGTAGAGGAAACTACATCCAAAGATGTGATGGAGAAGATAAGATCTGAACGAAGAAGCAAAGAAGAAGATAGTTCTGTAGATTCATCAAAGAAAACAAGATCTGACGCCAGCAAAGAAGAGGATAATAGTTCTGATGATCCAATGGAGGGGAACATATTTAATACTATTAGCGAAGAAGCTGAAACTAGGTTGGAAGATCCAATGAAGAACACAAGATCTACAGAAAGAAAAGAAGAAGAAAATAAGTCAGAAGATTTAATAGAGAAGACGAGATCTGAAAAAAGAGAAGAAGAAGAAAATACTTCAGAAGATTCAATAGAGATTTTGAGACCCTCAAGCAGAGGAGAAAAAGAGAAAAATATGTCTGAAGATTCAATGGAGAAGATGAGACCCTCAATCAGAGGAGAAAAAGAGAAAAATAGGTCCAAAGATTCAATGGAAAAGATAAGATCTACAAAGAGAAAAGAAGATGAAGAGAATTCTTCCGATGATTCGATGCAGAAGATAAGACCAATAATGAAATCTGAAAATAGAAGAAAAAAAGAAAGAAATGTAAATCTGTTGCCTTCAACCAGAGCTGTGGTTATTCTAGAGAAGCTGTCAAGTGTAACTATTGAAAAACTAAACCCTGAAGACATAATTAAAGAAACTATTAGAAAAATTACCAGTGGAAGAAGCAATGAACCTGGAAAAGATGCAACAAACCTAGAATCTAAATATTTTGCATCAAATCTAGAATCTGAAAATGATAAATCAAACCTAGAACATGAAAATGATACATCAAATCTAGAACCTGAAAAAGAGAAATCTAACCTAAAACCTGAAAAAGAGACATCATCCCTCGAATATGAAAATGAGTTATCAGACCTAGAACATGAAAATAATGCATCAGCCAATGATCCTCAAGAGAGATCAACCCAAGAAACTGAAAATGAGAATGATATTTCAACCCTAGAATCTGAAAAATTTCAATCAACCTATGAATCTAAAAGACCGAATTCATCCCTTGAACCTGAAATTGATTTATCAAACCTAGAACATGGAAATGAAGCATCTAACATTGAACCTCAAGAAAAATCAAACTTAAAAACTGAAAGTGAGAAATCAAACCTTGAACCTGAAAAGATTAAATCGCCCCAAGAACCTGTCCAGGATATATCCCACCAAGAACCCAAACCAAAGCTGAAGAAACTGAGAACCAGAAAGATGATGAACAAGAAATGTAGAAATAGAAAGTATTCCCAGAATCAAGAATCAAGACGTGCCAGGGACAATAATTCAGATTCCAGGTAGGATTAACTTTCTTTGCAGCCTGTAGATAAAGTCACTGTTGTTCCAATTGTATGTGACCTTCTATTTCAGAAAGGCAGACCCAATTCACAATGGTACCATGAAACCTTTATCTGAATATTGTTATGGAAATCAATTTGTTTCCTAGCTTTATTTGAATCAATTCTGACATACTTGATCAGACAAATCTTTTCAGAGTACTGAGTAATTACTCTTAAAGGGAGTGTTCGCGAAAAATGAAAGGGGGTATAGGCTTAATGCGATAAAAAAGCGCTTTTGATCGCCACTAATCTTACTTCTATCTGTTGCGTCTATAAGGAGAAAATTGTTAAAGACGTCTCATACCGAATAACATGGCGTCCATGCAAATTGAGAAAATTGCAACATACGACTTAGACCGTAAAAAAATCAATTTAATTTCAAACAAATCATTCAGATATTACAACCTATAGTCATCGATTATCTTTCGCCACATTTATATATAGTTGATTTTTCATAATATGTTTTAATTGTTATGATCTGAGAAATACTTATTAAAACGTTTAGTCCTGTTTCTAGGATTTTTTGTAATGAAGACGACATTTTCATATTTTCCAGGCATGTTCGAAAACAAGTTGTATAAGCTAAATATTATTTTAAAAAACAAAATCAAAACTAGTATGAAATATTAAATATATACAAATGTGGCCTGATTTATTAGATCCATAATCTACCAGATTCTTAATTCAATATAGAACTGGGATGTATATGTATTGCAGTAACCCGTCCATAGGCTGATGATGAAGAAGTCTTCTAAGGCCAACTACGAAAGTAGAACCTAACCATCAAATGATATTAATTTGATTTTTTTACGGTCTAAGTCGTATGTTCCAACTTCCTCAATTTGTATGGGCGCTACGCTCTTCGGTATGAGACGTCTTTATCAATTTTCTCCTTATAGACGCAACAGATAGAAGTAAGATTAGTAGCGATCAAAAGCGCTTTTTTATCGCATTAAGCCTATACCCCCTTTCATTTTTCGCGAACACTCCCTTTAAGTCCCTGTAAAGGAATTTACCATGCAGTTCTGTGTAGTTTTAACTTTTGTACTGAGATTATCAAATTGCAGAGTGTGTAGGTTTTAATTGGTATAATATCTGAACAAATAAAATATAAATCCATTTTTCAGTCCAACCTTTCTGTTGTCCAAAAGATCAGTGTCCGAATTTAATGAATTTGAGCCGCGTCTCAAATCCGCCAAAAACCAGTTTAAATTGAGCGCTAGCTTAAATCTTAAGTCATTGAATACAATCTTAAGCAGAACCAGCCATATTTGAATTTGGCCTCTGGAACATTAAACTCATTTAATTTTATTTTCTAGGGGCTGATATTTTTCATCTTTTTTCACTGTAATGATTTCTAAAGACTTAAAGATGAAAGTATAAAAATCATTTGCCTAATAAAATGTATTGATTGATTAATGCAGTAGTGTTGAGTCCAACCTAGAATCAAGTATGGAAAACGATTTGCCTAACTGTACCGACAGGTGAGTAAACAAACAGAAATAAATCTGTATTCGGTTAGAAAGGAGTTATGTCAAACATTTCTTCAAGTTTGTTCAGTTTTTTGCGAATCATAAATGATATTGCCTTAGATAGAAAATAATTTTAGAAATGTGATCATATTTTAAACCTTTCAATAAACTATTCATTTTTCAGTTCTGAATCCAGCTTTGAGGAAAGGAGACATTGTGACCTGCGAAGCAGGAAACGTAACTTTAGAGGAAAGAGCGTTTCAATCTTGGCAGGAAGATCTTCTAATTCTCCCGCTTTTAGTATATCCGGAGGAATGATAAACTCCTTCCCCTACCGTAAAAACTTATCAGTTATTAGAACTAGAAGTGTCACTCCAACGCAACCCAAGAGTCCTGGCACCTCTAGAAGTTTAGGTCAGTTGAACACATTCTTTACCAACAATTCGATGAATAAATCCGGAAGCAGTGGAGCTGGAATATCTCCTCTAGACTTGAGAAGAAAATCATTCTATTCCAATGGATTCTCATCAGGCACCTCACAAACTGACAGAAGTTCTTTTGAGCAAACTGTCTCTCAGATGATATGCACTTTGCAGCCAATTGACCCTACATCACAGACAAGCAGCAACGTATCCCAATCTCCAGTAGCTTCAGGAGCTCCAATTATTCCCCGCCTTCTAAGGTCGGATGTAAGTATTGATAAAGTTCCCAAGTCAGAAGATGATTCTCCACTTCTGCGTGAACTATTGTCTAGACCCATTGAAGAGGACATGCTGAGTCTGTTTGGAACAAGGAACTGGTCAGGATTGGCTTTAAGGCATACCTCAGAATCTGGATCAGCAGAAGGCCATAGTTCTAGATTTATTAATAGATTCCAAACTGCTCCTCACGACAGTATAAAGACAGCTGAAATAATGACCAGGGAGCTGTTGCCCAATAGTTGCCCAAATCCTAGTAGCTCCAGAGAATCCAGAGTGATCAGAGAGGGGGTTAACTGGCCGTCCTCCTACAGTCGTCCATTATGTTCTAGCTCGTCGGGTCGTAGTACATTTTACCAAGGAGCTCTTGGTCCTTCAACAGTACCATCAGCTTATTCTGAATATTTAAGGAATCTTTCCAGAGAAACTACTCTAACAGCTCAACGATCAGGAGTTGAAAACCTTAACAATGCTACTCAACATGTTAGTGCCTCCAATAATCAGCTTAACATTAGACCCAATCAATATACAGCTCATGAACTTCAATATCCCAGAACTGTTACCGGACATCCCAATACTAAACCTCAATATCTAAGAATTTCTACAGGACATCCCAATGCTGAATCTCAATATCCCAGACCTGCTACCAGACATCCCAATGTTGAACCTCAATATTCAAGAATTTCTACAGGACATCCCAATACTGAATCTCAATATCCCAGACCTGCTACCGGACATCCCAACACTGAACCTCAATATCCAAGAACTGCTACTGGGCATCCCAATACTGAACCTCAATATCCAAGAACTGCTACTGGGCATCCCAATATTGAACCTCAATATCCAAGAATTGCTGCAAGATATTCAAACACTGGACCTCAATATCCATCATCAACTGCAGGATATTCGAATTCTCAATACCAATCAACAGCTGTGGGATATCCATATTCTGGACCTCTATATTCAACAGCAACTGCAATATATCCAAACAACAGACCTCAATATCCAGAAGTAGCTGCAGGAACTGGATATCCTTATGCTGGACCTCAATTTTCAAGAATGGTGGGATATCCTAATACTAGACCTCAATATCCAGCAACAACCACAGGAAATCAACGCACTGGATCTCAATATCCAACAACAACTGCGTGTTTTCAAAATCTTTGTGGTCTACGCCACCAAATCACTGGGCCTCACACCAGACTCATCCAATCAGATACCATTAGTACCGGAGGTCAAAGAGCTTCCTGTTCTAACCATTCCTTTAGGCCATCAGAAAATAAATTTCCCGCTCCGCAATATCCACCTGTAGCTTCTCAAGGTGGATCTGGAGAATCCCAACGCAGTTCTACTGGAAGCCCTGCCAGTGATGATCAATTGCCAAGTAGTAGTACTCCATGTGGAAAGACCTATTCAGGATCTAGCGGAAGTTACTCTTCGCCAGAGTGATGCAGATCTTCGGAACCATAATTCCTCAATCTTCTGTTCTTTCATTTTTCAACGGAATTGTATTGATCCTTCATTTTAGAAAACCTTAAAAAATTCACAATTGTTCCTCCACTTACGCGTGAATTACAAATGGCAATTGAAAATATGCTCACTATCTTTTTTTTAACATGTATAAGATTTTTTTATAAATGCTGCTTAAAATTATCTACTTTAATTTTAGAAATACCTTGAGTCCAATTTTAACTTTAAATATTTAGAAATGTGTAAAATTTAACTTCTGTAGTCAATGCAATTGAGACGATACATTTGTTGCAAGCATAGTTTAGCGCTAAATATTTTTTTTAGGCAGACATTTCGCATGACGCCTCAATTTTAGATGAAAAGTAATAGAGGCTCTGGGCCAAATTTCAGAATCTATATATATACTACGCTTTTCTGTGTATCCAGTATACAGCTAAACTCATTATGCCCACCTTTTTTTGTGGCAACTCGCATGACCCCAGGGACGGTCAAAAATAAAAAAATTTCCAGAAAGAATTTTTATTTTTATTTTAGAATTGCAACGACGATAACTGAAAATTTCCCGAATATTTGAGTTTTGCATACATATATTTATGAAGAAAACGGGGGGGATTCAAAAGTAACATTAGACGCTAAAAGGGTTACCAAAAGCCTATAAAAACTTAGCATCTATATAATTTTATAAATAAAATTGATCCCGAGTCCTGAGAATAGGTGTTATTAGAAGCAGAACCCCGTGTTTCATATTTGGGATTTGAAACAGTATGCATGATCAGTTTTGATGAGTATTTTGTGTATAATGAAAATGAGGAACTTTATATTTTTATACTTTCTGACAACGATTGCCTAATATTACATTATTTTAAATCAATCTTTAATGACGTTGGGACATTATAGACAGCAATTTCATAGATTAGACATTTTTCTTCATTTCTTTCATCTTCATATTATCCATTGTCTATGAAATGTCTTCTCACGAAGGCCATGTCTTCCTTCTTCCGTGTCAGAGATACAGTGAGAAGTTTTGCAGTTTTTCCTATTTTGTTATGCGGAATTTTAACAATTCACTCGAGCATCTCATGCAACATAAGCACTAAAGAAAAACTTATAAATGGACAGAAAGGTTTTCACAGGCGAAAAAGTTGAGTTTTAAGTTCTTTAAAAAAAATAACTCTTCATAATGATTTTTTAATTGTTTGGTTCTAGCAACGATATAGGGAGCACTGTATTTACATTTCCCTTGTCTTTGAAAATTAGAACAAAGCAGAATTTCGTAAAAAAACAAATTTCCTCTGTCTATAAAATGTCAGCTGTCTATAAAATGTCAGCTGTCTATGAAATGTCTTTTAATGAATTTTCCCAACGCCTCTTTTATAATTGTCCCACACTAATTAAGTGCTCGGCGTTGCCCGTAGAATTAAAAACAAATTTTATTTTGAAAAAAATACGCTTCGCATAGTTTACCCTTCAGGGTAATAGAGGCTTTCCTCAAAAAAATTCAGCCAATTTAGTCAAGTCGTATAAGCCAGCTCTAGCTAACATACATATATACAGGGTGTCCCAATAAATATGGTAATTGAGCATGGCGATTCCGATATCGTCTTTTTAAATAATTCTTTGATTTAGTATAGTTATACGGCTTATACCTGCTGAGAAAGCTGTAATCTGGAGGATTTTCGTCCGCTATGTTTACAATTTGTTTTTTTATGTATAGACTGCATACGGTTGTACTCGTTGTACTTGTTGTACGAGGGATCCCGTCCAGAGTTCCTCAAATAGTAATCACCGCCACCCAAATCTGTTTTGCGGCAAGCGCGCTCCTCAATTGGTAATCTCCACCACCTCAATTAGTAATCACCGTAAAATTTTGTTTTCTGTGATTTGAATTTAATGCACTTTTAACACAATTTTCGACATCTATCGGGGTTTTATGGCATCTGTATTGACTTAAACTAAATTTTCAAATTATTTTCAGATTTGTTTGGTCAACAAAAACTCAGAATCAAGGCACAGTTCATTTTAGCCGAATCTTAGATCCAATTCGCCACTTTAATGACTGCATTTCATGATTGGTGTCAAAATACTAAAAAGGTCGGGCTGCCTGTTTACTAAAAATTATCTCATCGCGCCCAAAGTAATATCAATCTCCATTTAAAAGATATTTTCAAAAAACCTTTACAGTGTTTAGATTTTTGTATTCGCCAACTCGAGTTCAACATCTACAACAAAACTAATTATATGCATAGAAAGAACTTAAAATTTACTAAAAATTATCTCATCGCGCCCAAAGTAATATCAATCTCCATTTAAAAGATATTTTCAAAAAACCTTTACAGTGTTTAGATTTTTGTACTCGCCTACTCGAATTCAACATCTACAACAAAACTAATTATATGCATAGAAAGAACATAAAATTTTGAAAAATTAGTCTCATCACACAAACTACTGAAAATGATGTATTTAGTCCACTAATAATGGGTTAAAGTTTCCTCTCTATATAAGGAGTTTAAAACAACATTCAGAGGAAAATGCCGCAAACATTCTTAAAGCGAAACTTGAAACTAAAAAACGTAATATATTTTCTAGCACTTAGTGTGGCATATTTATTGATTTATTTTCGAAACTAAGAAGCAATAAAGAAAGCTTTAACAATATTGTACACCATAGGGCCATTAAAAGAGGTCAATATGGTCTTATTTATAAGAAATAAACGATTTAATTTTATGCTTTTTTGGGCTGATTACTATTTGAGGTGGTGGAGATTACCAATTGAGGAGCGCGCTTGCCGCAAAACAGATTTGGGTGGCGGTGATTACTATTTGAGGAACTCTGGACTCCCTCCCTCGTTGTACTTAGTAACACAAGAAAATTACAGGAAACCTTCATTGTTCATCTTTCAGAGAGATTACAGAATACTGACACATCATTGAAGTCATTTACTGTTGTTATAGAAATAAACTCTAGCAGACATAATTATAAAATTGCTTATGAAATCAGGTATTACAAGGTTAATTCTTAACAAAGACGATATCAAATTCGTCATGTTTATTTGGACATCCTGTATGTAAGTTTTATTCCTGTTAAATTTGACAACTCTAGCCTATTTTGTCCCGAAATCGTGATAGTTATTTTCTTCATTTTCTTTCACTCATTATTTCAATAATACGATCTAAGTTCACTGTTGTTCTTAGTAGACTTAGATACAGTGTGTGCCACAAAACATGAGGGTTGGTAAATATTTTAGAATGTATTCTTCCATAATTTGTGTAATTGTTTAATACCACGGACAATAATAAATATATTATTAGATAATAGGAGCCATGTTGTCGTAAAATTACTTTCAAAGTAAAATATATTTGAGCAAACGAAATAAACTGCATAAAGCCTTTACTGTCTAATACAGTGTATGGAAGAGGATATTCTAAACTATTTACCAACCGCCATGTTTCGTGGGACACCCTGTTTACAGGGAAACCCACAAAGATAAGACTTTATATTTTTGTTTGGTCTTTAATTTTACGTTTCCACAGTACACTGAGTACTGACTGTAATTGGCAAATTGATTTTTTTTATCTGATCAAAATTCTTAGGAATCAGAGCTGAAAACTTAAGATTGTGATATCCTTAATCCCGATTGGTTAATTAATCTTGAGATTAATAATAAAAGGAAAACAAGCATTGATTAATCTTGAGATTAAGAAAAAGAGTGGATCAAGCAATTAATCCCGATATCCACCATTCAAAAGTTCTCAGCTCCGAGCTGAAAACTTTAGAATGAGATATCCTTTATCCCAATTACTTAATCTGAGTATCCAATGGACACACTTTCGATTTTCTTTTTAAACCGAATTCTTTCTTGGATATAGTAGAGAAAAATCAAAAACCGGTTTTTATAATTTATAGAGTCCCTCCCGTTTCTGTATATATTCTTAAATGGAGCGCAAAATTTCAAATTTATCGGCTTCATTAAGCCTTAATCTCCACCATTAATCTCCAGCTTTCAGCTTTGATTGGGGAACTTGGATATGCGTACTTTGGATTAAAATATAAAAAAGTTGAGTCGGGTCACTTCAAAAAAAGAGAAATTTCTAGGCAACAAAACTCTAAAAGATACAGACAGGCATGACAACTTGCATTTTTTTCTTCTATATTGGGTCAACTTTGAAGTGTTGCAGCACCTAGGGCAATATTTTTACCTACCTCATACTTAGTAAAAGTACATTTTAAATCTAGTTTCTAGAAAGTAATTGGCAAAATTCTCAACGATTTTGTATGAGAGCTTGCAACCTTGATAACTGCAAGCTGGGTTGCCAAGGTACAGGGTTACTCACAAAGGAGAGACTTCATAGACGATTGTACGGAATGTGTTTTCTTTCATTCAGGGTTCCTTGTAGGTCAAAAAAGGTTTATTTCTGTGGTTAATCATTTAGTAAACCACCAAAATACTTTATTGTATGCAGAAAATGAAGCTTTAAATCGTCATATTTTTAGAGTTTTGGGTTGTCTTCATAGTCTCATCCTTTGTAGGTAACCCTGTAGTATCTTTATAATCAAGAAACAAATTAGGTTAGTTCCAATTATTAAAGTCCCAATTTAAAGAATTTGAGCCGCGGCTCAAATATTGTTGGTTCCACTTAAAATTGTATTAAATTTTTCAAAATTTCAGCCGGCGCTCAATTGAAACCGGTTTGGGGGGGATTTGAGACGTGACTTACATTCATTATATTCGGACATCGACGTCGTCGTTTAAATATTTATTGCTTTTTAAATCTTTTTTTCTCCTTTTGGATTAGAATAACACGTACAAATCTTAATCCCACATATTTTCCCCCAGCTTCCTAAATCCTGTACCTGGGAGAAATATATTTAGGCGATTGTATTATTACAATAAAGACGACTTTTTTAATTAAGTTTTGATTTTTTCTAAGTAGAAGTTTAAAAGTTTTAAAAAAATTCTTCATTGTATTGATACGACGATGCAGTGACTGTAACAATCTATTTTCCAAATCAAATCATAAATGCAAATTCATTGTTTTAAAAATTTAAATTTATTCATGAAATATTTAAATTTGTTTCTCTCGGGATATTCTGTTAAACTTTGTGTCGTTCGTGACCCAGTAAAAATACAGGGTTACCAACAAAGGATGAGACTGCAAAGACGACCTAAAAAAAATATGACGATTTGAAGCTTGACGTTTTTGTTTCTACATTCAATCGAGTATTTTGATGGTTTACTAAATGATAAAGCAAAGAAATAATCCAGTATTGGCCTACAAGAAACCAAGAATGCAAGAAAACGTACTAAAGAAACCAAGAATGCAAGAAAACGTACTAAAGAAACGCCTTACAATCGTCTCTGATGTCTCATCCTTTGTGGCTAACCCTGTTTATTTAAAGGGGTCCACTGCACTTTATGTCAGGCGAATTTTTATTTATAAAAATTAAAGGGCAAGTGTACATTTCATAAAAAGGGAGGCTTTTGACATGTTTTAGAGATTTCTCTTTGATTTTTTGCA